ACGTGGTTAGTGCAAAAAAGCGAAAACAGAACAAAAAAAAGCCAATTATAGATGGTGACTCCAGCAGCCATAGTGGATCCAAAATTAGGAGACAGCAAGCTTAGCCCACCAATTCAACAGCATAAATCATGGTGTGAAAGACATAAGCGAATCACTTTCAAGCGAATCTATAGAGGAAGCACCAAAGTGAATGGACGGACCCATGCGTGCTCGGCGGAGTATACTCTGCTGCATGACGAAGGCGCAAAATCGTCGGGCACTCTGCGGCTTTATTAGCCGCAGAGCGCATGAGGCGCAGGATTTAAAACGGTGAGAATACGCGCACGTCGCGTTCGCACCCGCTTAACTGTTATTGCTTCTGCGCCTTCGTCATGGTGTAGCCTATACCTCTTTTAGCTCCCTCTTATATCGCTACCATGAGAAACAAATAGAAGTTGAATAAAATGGGGTGGCTTGGAAGAACATTGTGTGCGATCCAAAGTAGCTTCTAAGCAAAAGTGACTACCGGAGACAAAGTAGGATATGTGTTAGTACAACAATAATAACATTCAACGATTAAAGCTCAAAAGGCTATAAAAGTCGGCACTTGAAGAGAAATCCTATTCATTCTCAGATTGTCTCAGTAGGAAGGATAAGTCATTTGCATTAATTTTGCGCTTAAATACGTTTGTAGATAAGGTTTGCAGTGCAGTTTCTGGTAATAGTCTAAGCCATCGGGGGATTCTGTAAAACAAACTATTAGAAACCCAACGAAAACGCTTCCTGTAAATAAGTAAGTAACGAATGTTAAACCCACCGTATCTGTTTGTAGATCTAAAAATCCAGGGCCGGTAGTAATCTGGTCGAAACTCCGAGTTTGAAGCTCCGCGTTAACTCAGAGATAACTCTGAGTTCCGTTTTTGAAACTCTGAGTTACGCTTATTGAAACTCTGAGTTCCGCTTTCGTAATTCCGAATTCCAACTCTCAAGCTCGGAGTTTTGCTTTGAGGAGCTGTTAAGCACTTTGCTGCAAAAGCGACGTTAAAGTAGGGACTCGAACCTGCACGGTCTAGCGTAAAGATCCTATCACTAAACCGCTAGACCATGACACACCCATGAACCCTAAAATTGCTTTGCCATAATGTACTCACTCATTCCATTAACACTTAGCAGGTCAAAACAAGTTATACCAAAGCCTCACTCATTTCCATTTCTATCGGGGAGTGATGGTTCATCACGAGGATTGGTCTTTTGCGCAGCTGAAAGCTTCAAACAATAGAGAAAGCGGATGGCATACGCAATGATAAGAATTGACTATTAGGATTTGCTCACAGAATAAATCCTCCGGACAAAGTTTGTCCTTCCATGATTTCGTCTTACTTACCGTATACCTACCGTAACCGTTCCATAGGTCACCAGTGTATGTAGCAGATAGATTGTCCGTAATCTGCATCCCGAATAACTCCAGTGTACCAAATTTCGATCAGTTTCGTGATTTTCTCCTATCCACCGTAAACCTACCGTAACCTCGTCATATGACACCACAGTATAATCTGCATGTCATATTCGTTATCGGCGCCCCGAATAACCCCAGTGTACCAAGTTTCGATCAGTTTCGTGATTTTCTTCCATCTACCGTAGACCTACCGTAACACCTCTACATGACCCCATAGTGAAAAATGAGTACCATATGCGTGATTAGCGCACCTAATAACCCCCTGGGCTAAGTTTTTACGAAATTTCAAAATTTAGTAAATCATTGCGCACCACGATACCCCCATCATGCCTGCTTAAACTACTAGCAAAATGTACCCCGGAGGACTTTTTAGCTGCCCCTCTTCTTTTGCGCACTATTTCTCTTTCTCTGACCAAACTCAGAGTTATCTCTGAGTTCCACAATAGACTGGAACTCGCACCAAACTCAGAGTTATCGCAGACACTAGTTGCGCGTTTGCTGGCGCTGTTTCTTGTGCAGGACGATTTGGACAATGTTGCGCTACTAGGAGTAAACTACGTGTTGAGGAGAATCCTGCCATATCAAGGCTTTCCGGATTTGATCTGTTCAAACACCTGTTAAGGGGGTCAAAAAGTTGCGCGTTAGCTCAGAGATAACTCAGAGTTAACTCTGAGTTATAACTCTGAGTTTCGATAGGTTTACTACCGACCCAGTATTTACTTGGGGCAAGTCTTGATTCTTTATGCAAAAGTCGAAAACCAAAAACGAGATCAAAAATATTCGTCTATGTTCTAAACTTTTCATTACCAAAAAACTTGAGGCGATATTCGTAGCTCGGCATTTTGACGAAATTGAGTTTTTTACGACACCTTTACATATTAAACCAACACATCCAGCAAGGGCAGAGTTACGCTACTCTTAAAATGGCACACGTTAGGTAAATGACATACTGCACAATTTTAATGATGTGCAAAGATTTGAGAACTTCGAGCATATTTAGCATGGTTGTCCTATGAAGAAAAAAAACTGAATTTATAGAATTCGAAGCAAATTTGGTGGGTATGAATTTGCGAGTAAAGGTATAAGCATAAACTTGTTAAACACACAATGAAATTTGAAACTGTTTGCAATGTACTGAGTTTCCTAGTTTCAGAATGAATGATTTTTTGGGAAAAGCTCTGAATTTAGTTTCTGGAGCAGGGTCAAGCGTGTTGATGCGATTCGGGACCCTCTCTTACGACCCCCCCCCCTTGAAGGACCCTTGCATCAATGCATGTCAGATCACCACACTCTGATTAGACATATGGTGCGTCCCCTAAAATTGTTCCCATATGAACCATCAACGTGGCTGCGTTTCGATCGCCACGTTAACTCCAGCAAATTTGAGGCGCTAATTCGAACTTGACATGGGCGATGCACGATACATGCCTTCAAATGTATTTTGAACGTTCAAAATTTTCCTGAATTTTGGGTTGTACTTGAGGCCGGAAAAAATGAGTCATAATTTTTCGGAACTGCACATTTGAAGCGAGTCTTTACATTTGCAAATTTTTTTTCTGGAAAAGTGTTGCTCACTTGTCTGTCTTTACTGCATTGATACACGACCTTCGAGAAATTTGTAAGAGTTGCGATAGTCGCGTCAACGCCTTAGGCCCTGGGCATACATATCTCACGCGATTTCAGTAGACGCGATTTGGCAATACTCCAATTGTGCATAACTCATCGTAAGCGGTTTCTGAATGTACGGAAGATAGGACATTTCATCAACCTGTGGAAGTTATACATGCTGTGCTTTTGGGGTCTGCCAGTACTGAGTTTGAAGACACCTGGCAAATTGCCAGATCGCGTGGCGACTGAAATCGCGCGAGGTATGCCCACGGCCTTTTTTGGAGGCTCCTGATCTCATACTTAACGGAGGAGTCTAAAGTTCAGGAAAGTTTGCGAAAACATCCAAACCATTTTCTCTGCTTTGCCCCGTATGGCACAAACCATAGTTGGATCCGGCGCTATTGCAGTATCGCCCCAAAATTGTTTTCGCATATATTTTGCTGAAACTTGGCCCGCAGGGGTTATTGGCCCGCTGATACCATTGGATTTGTACCGTAGCATTATTTTCTCGGGTTACGGTAGGTATGCGGCAGTGGCGTACCGAGGAGCGCGAGGGCGGGGGCCGAGAGCGGGTCGCGAAATTTTTGAAAGTTACTTACATGGGTTATAAAATTGTGCAAATGACTTGTCTGCACTTGTAAGTAATTGGAACAATTTTTGAAATTTTTTAGAAAATTCATTTTAGCCTCATAAAAAAATTTTCGGGGCGTGGCTGACGCCAAGCCCCCTTTTTCTGAAAATCCGGGGTTCTGAGCTCGCGAAAATTTTAGGAAGCATACCAAAAAAATTTTCGGAGTGCGTGGCTGACGCCACGCACCTTCATCGGAAAAATTTTTTTGTCCCCCCCCCCCTCCCTCCCCGAGCCGAAATCCTGGGTACGCCACTGCAGAGGCGTACCCAGGATCTCCGACTTTCGCTGCGTACCAGCGGCGTTCGACTGTCCTCTAAGCGCAACGCGCAAACGCCGCTGGTAGGGCAGTCGCACGCCGCTGGTACGCTGTGGAACTCCGCTAGCAGGAGAATGGTACGCCGCTGGTACGCCAAGAGGGTACGCCTTCGGACCGCATGTTCACCTGATTTTTGATTACGTACTAATTGCAGCATTAGTTGGTTTGAAAATTGCTATATCGTCACATTTTATGAAGCCGAAATCAGCGCAATAGTTCCTGCTATTTCGATCGATGGACTTCATTGAATCGAAATCAGGGGATTGTGGGCCACCCCTACAACACCTAGCTGAGGTATTATCAGGTCACTCAGTAAGAACAACAACTCAATCTTATTCCTTTGTCAAGTGCCGAGAAGTGTTAGCTAACCACTAAAATGCTGAGGCGGCCCAACCACTGCGTCGTATCTCATGCGGGTAGGGCTTACGCTTACAGCGTGGGGTAATGTGATGGGACGCCGCTCGCCAAAAGACGGTAAGCCGCGGTAGGGCGCATTAAGGAACGCCGTTGGTACGTTAAGCGCACTCCGCTGGTACGCAAGGCCATTTAGGTACGCCGCTGGTACGCAACGAAAGTCTGAGTGGTATGCGCTAAGGGGTCAAAATCCCAGAATTCGCTGAAACTTGACCCAGGGAGGTTATTCGGCCCGCTGACGCCGGATATCACATTGGTTTTCTACCGTAGCATCATTTTCTCAGATTGTGGTAGGTATACGGTGACGGGTGAAAACCTAGTTCTGCCTGGAGCGGATGTCCGGCGATTCGGTCGATCGTGAAGCTTTGCACACGGAACCAACGCCGCGCGCCACACCCTGCTGCGGCTTTTGTCTAAGCAAAGCACGGGGAGAAGATGCATCCGCCGATTTGTGATTTTGACCCCGACCGTAAACCTACCGTAACCATGCAGGGAGACGTTCTCGTGCGGAGAAAGTGTGATAAATTGATCCACTTGATTCACTTGATCCACTTCGCAATTCGCCAGAATCAGTGTTCTGAACAACAGTGAAACGGATGAAGCGGATCAAGTGGATCCTGTGGATATTCGCGTCGCTATTGGTCAGTTCACCGTTTTGACCCATCGCGAAGTGGGATAAGTGGATCACGAATCAAGTGGAGTATGGCGCATGCCTACAGAAGCCTCTGTTCGTTCCATTTTTGTAGAGTTTGAGCGTCAAACGGCCTGTTTGTGTAATTACGGTCAATCCATCTAATTGACCCTCAACCAATTGAAAATCGGTTTGACTTCCCCATCTCTTTTGAGTTTTGCTTGTTGCAGTTTCTCGAAAGAAATGATGACTTTTTTGGTACAGGGTTCCTCTTTGAACCGATGATCTTGCAAAATTCTCGCGTAGAACAGATTTGAACCTATTGGAGGCAATAATGTATGCTTGGGAAAGTTGGGTAGCGTTTATCATTTGCTCTTTCTAAGCGAAATCAGTTTGTTGTTGGTGGCTGAATTTGAAAAAAAAACCGTTTCTGCTTTTAATTATGTCATTATCTGTCATTTTTGTTTTGCAATGTGAATTGCTTTTTTTTTTCAACGGGTCACAATTTCAGGCAGCAATTTGAGCAAGTATGGCCACTGGAAGTCGCATTCCCGAGAATTATGAGACCCTCACTCCGATCCTAAAAGTGCCTGTTTCCGACACTTTCGCTGTTCCTTTATCACAGCAAGGTGGGGGTGTCCATGTAACATTTTTCTCAGTTTTACCTGCTGATTTGCGGTTTATTTTTGCATTGACTCTTTCGAGTGTCCTGCTTCTGTTTTACAGTGGAAATTCTGCTTTTTTTCATTGTTTTGTCTGCTACTTTTGCTGATTCAGCGCGTCAGTCGATTTGTTCCAGGCCGTATCTGCGGTTTCTTTGAGGCACAGTTCTATCGTTGTATGGAAGCGTATGGAGCAAAATTAGGACGTAAATATTGTGATCTTGAACATCGCGATTTCAGAGAATGTTTGACTGGGGATAAACAAAAGAAAGTGAGTTGATTCCATACTCTGTTTTTTTATCATTTCACTCTATTTGTCACTCAGTTTGATGATGTACTTCTAAACAGCTGTTTGTATCTTTCTCCCTTTTTCCATTCCTCTCTATTTTCTTCCCTTCCATTTATCCTTCTTCCTAGTCTCAACCCCTTATCTCTTCACTTTGTTCTTGATGTAAGTAGTTTTTTCTCATCTTCTTTCATACAATACTTCTCTATTTATTCATAAAGCAAAAAAGATTATTTTGTCGAAGAGCATGGGTCGATGATTGATTTTCCTTGCCGTATTTCAAAAGACGAAGTCAGGCAGAAGAATTTTGATGTGTTCTGTCCCTGGTTATTATTGCATTATAGTACATACACTTAATATCCTTGATTGTTGATGAAATAGTGAGCATTGCTAGCGCTTTCCCTTTCATTTATCAACACTAATGTGCCGCATTCCTAGGACACTTTGATAAAAAGTAGGCATCATGAACCCCAGCCAGACTTCGCTCAGAAGCTCTAAAAGTTCTCAAATTTTCCTAACCTCTCTTCACTTTCTCGTGTGAGAAAAGATAGAGAAAGTGAAGAGAGTTTAGGGAAATTTGGGCGCCTCTGAGCGCTTTTGGACGCTTTTCAGCGAAGTCTGGTCGTGGCCATTGCGTTCTTCTTCCCATCAACATAATACCATCGTAAGACTTCTAGCGCAGCTTTGAAGGGAAAGTTGAAAACTGCTTTGAAATTTGTCGAGATAATCTGTTTATTTGTGGGTGCATACGTAGGCTTTGAGAAATAGGAGAGCGGTCTTTTGTTTTTTTTTTCATTTAGAGACGTCTTTGATTATTGGTCTTGATAAATATCATACATATTGGCATTTTTCTGCTCCTCTCTATAGCGCTGCTTTCACTATCCACGCATTTATTTGAGCACTTTTGTGAAATTTCTCACATCTCATCGATTGTGTGCCAAAAAAAGCATTCTATGCTCTTTCGCAATCTTTTCCTGTACTTGTACAGCACGAGAATACCTCATTCTTGAACAAAAACCTGCTAAGCGTATTTTGATATCATAAAGCACCCCAGTCATCATAGCATTCCATTTCTTCGTGAATTATCACTTAGTCAGCGCTGTCCTGACGCTACTTACATGCCTCTATTTCGTAATTGAGCGAAAAATATTTAAATTTTCTATTTGGTCTACTTCAAATGATTCTCAAATATGTTTTAATAGCCTTATATGACCTGTTCTACTTATCAGTCTTTAGGCTTGAGAAATTAGATATTATGAGCCTAGTCTTTCCCTGATTTCTCCAATCTTTCGAAATTCTAGCGTGCTGCAGCCATTGCTGCCCAACGACGCAAACTCTACCGTGAAGGCAAATTAGACCAGGCATTCCTCGACAATCATCCGCAAGTAGGACACTTCGAGCCGGACCATTTTTCATGGAATAAGATCCATTAGCTTTCGTAGTGTGTAATTCTGTAGAGTATAGATAAATCGATAAATGATGTGAAGGCATTTCATAAGTTTGATTGGTTCTATCGTTTCCTACACGACTCGGTGTTTGTATAGTCTGCTATCCATTTCTGCTATTCTTTTGGATGTGATGAGCAACTCATTGCCTAGTGTTGAAAGGTGTGGCATGGTCGATGAGAGTTCCTCTGGATTGTCAGAATGTGACTCTCAACCTGGAATCTCGTCGTTCATCAATGGATGTCAGGAGAAACGAGCATACGTGCGGCCAAGCGGGAACTTAGTGCTTATGCTGACTGAAAGAGAACGAGGATGCCCTAGAAATGGTGTGTTTGACATTTTACATTCCCCGTTTTCAATTTTATTGAATATCCATGTTCGAGTGAAAACTTCAATTGTATTCCGATTGGCATGCCATAACTCTTCCATTTCAGGCGTTCGACATGTTAGGAATAGACGGGAGTACTATGCAACAGTGTCCATGGATCGGGTTGTGGAGGTGTGCTTCTCCTTTTATTTTTCTCACCGAGCTCACTTATTTGTAATTTTCTCAGGTCCCAGAAAGTTGCCACATGCAGGATCATGTGGTCTCGTGGACTCCCGACGGGTCTCGCTTAATCACTTTTCGCATAAACTTGCGCTCTGTTAGGATATTTCGTTATCTAGGCGTAGAAAGGGCTCGCGGTGTTGCTCCTGAGGAGATTTGCGAGGTAAGAAGTTTTGAGCTATGCCGTACCAATTTTTCGCATCTCTGCTTTTCAGCGTCTTTTCTCATTAGAATCTGAAGTAATGATGATGATGGGCTCGTCACGGCTTGAGAGTGCTTTGCTAAGAACAGATTGTATGCTGTTTACAGATGATGGGAAGTACATGGTTGTGGCAACGACAGCACCCGTAAGTATCAATGGCTTTGATTTTTTTTGATTGTTTGTTATATATTTTTTGTGTATCTCGGTATATAGGCCCCAGACCAGCTCATAACAATTCCAATGGTCTACCCGAATCATGAGGCACTTCCTTTGATCAACTATAGTTTGGAAATTTACACTTTCTTTACCATCGATTTAGAGGTGAGCAACATTCAAACGAATTTTATGAGGCAATGAATTCCTGGTGCCCGATTTTCCTAGCTGGTTTTTTCTAGAAAGGATGCATAGCTCATTTTGTCATGTACAACTTTGATAGGATCAATCTGACTCATGGTGTAGCATTGTGTGGATCAACAATGATGATTATGTCTCTTCAGAAACAGGTGTGCCAAACATTGAATAATTCTTAGCTTTGTTTTGCCTTTATATAAGAGAGTGGCAGGCTGTGACGTGTTTTATAGTTTTTTTTTTCTGAATTATAGGCAACCTTATTCTTTAATAATCTCGTCGTCACAAGCAACGGAAGTCTACACTTCATTATTTTTTGGGTCAACCCGTCTTGTGTCGACTTTCTGCAGTTCCGTTTCGTCGAGTCTTGCATCATATTTTCGTAAAATATCCTAGAATTTTGGGTCCGAAATTATGATTTGAAGTCCATCAGCGCTTTAGTCGCATTTCAAGGACGGCAACCTACTATTGTTTTTGTTCCACTTATTTTGTAGTCACATATGCTATATACTTTTTTATTTTTGGCATTTTCGCTTTATGCTTGGATGTAATGAAAGTCCCTTCTCAGGTCATTCACATGCTGCATGTTGATGAGGATGGAGCAATGATACCTTTGAAAGACATTGGTCCGTCAGTATGGGATGATGATGGACTTTATCTGTTGTGAGTCAGCTGAGCACTTTGAATAGTTTCTAATTTGCATAGTTTCTAATTTGCATCAGAGCTGTATTTTGCTGAGAATTTTTTCTTTACTTATTTTGCCCCAAGCTGATCGCATAATTCCAGTGGCGATTGCCAAGCGACGCCAACGCGGTCTACCTTGTATACAGGGCTAAAACAGCGGTTATTGACATTCCTATATAACGAAGCAAAACAAGAGGGCAATATCCAGCATTTTCTTCGGTTTATGGCACCATATGTGGAGAAGCTCAGAATGCATAGGGCACAGCTATTCGACGGGCACTATCTGCTGATTAGAATGCTACCTCGTAAGTTTCATGCTTTGGATGATTTATTTAGTGCTATTTATGCATACTCATTTTAGATGCATCTATCAGGTATGATGTATCGCTCATGCCATGTTTCCTATTCATAATGGATTGGAGGAATTGCAAGATTTTAGCGGTATATCAAGAGGTTAGGCATCTTTGCAACCGTTTGACTGCTCTTCATAGCTCATAATTCTAGTATGGACCCAAACTGTTGGAGTTCTACGAGAATTTTGTGGAATCCTTGTTAACTCCATCACAGAATCCACATCGTTATCCGAAATCGTTCCAGTATAATCCACACTCTCGACAAAGGATTCATTGGCTAATGGCCAATGCCTCAGGAGGTAAGCATTAGGTTGGAACATAAGTCTGGCACCGAAATTTTTCAAAATCCGTCATCTCTTCTAGTTTCACTGATTCTTTGCAGTAAATATTCAGAAAGAGAAAACCTTACTTTTCCAAGTATTTTCAAAGTCAAACTCTTCATCATCATTTCGCTTTCCAACTTTCAATTCCGGAAAACGGTGGAAGGCGAGAAATTCCTAATTTTATTTGTTTGGGTTTTCTTATCTAAACTTTTCAACTAAAATAAACTTGAACTGATAGAACGCCTCTAAGAGAAGTTGATATTTTCTTGATCTTATTTCCGAGTTCATATCGTTTGAAATAAAATCATTAATTTCTACAAAATACTACATGTATCATATACAAGGAAAAATGAACCTGCTCTGAGCATTGTTAAATAAACTTTTTGGAATCTCTTGTGCAAACTTAGGTTCCTTTCTAAAAACTTGGATCAAAGTTTTCTGTTGGGGTTTAAAAATCATATATTTTTCTACGTAAAACAATATTTATATTGAATCTCTACGTTCAAATCATTCATCTGCTGATGTCTGGTGAATCAAAAGATTCGGGATAGAAATGATACTCATTTGTATCAAATCTGCGAAAGTCTTATTTCGTAACATCTTGCAGACTATTGTCTATCTACTAGAATCATGATATATCGATTTCTTAGGAGCAAATCATCTATAGACTAAATCTTTTGGGATTTTCTTGTGTAGATTTGAAGTGCTATTTTTAGCTATGTCCGAAGCGGTGTACAGGCGGGTCTTGTCGGTGTTGCCTTTCTGCGGATGTCATGTAGGTAGCCTCAAAAATTTTCTGCTTTAGAATTCGCCTTTTTTGCATTTCTTCCCAGTATGGTATACTGATTGAAAAAGCTTTTAGCATTCGTCATCGGAAAATCCTTATCTTGATCCGCTATACTTTTCCATTGATGAAAAGATACACTCGAATTTGATGTATGGTCGTATGCGATTTGATCTCGGTCCGGTGCGGTAAGTTATCCTTGTCAGCTTCACTGTAAGAACACAGAAATGGTTGCATTGTGTTGGAGATAATGTTAGCGACCGGCGTAAGCTTTCTCCCCCCCCCCATCCCGTTCTTCCCTCGCTGACAGCTGGCTGGCTAAGTGCTGAGTGTCTGGTCACTTATTACAACGCTGGTACTTCTGCATCGATTTAGTCACCATTCGTTGTCACATGTGTTAAGTTGTATATGTGCATAGAATAGATTTGCTTCGATTATCACAGTAGAATAATATTCTTGCAACTACGTTATGTCTAAACATTTCTGCATACATTTGAAATTTCCAATCTTTGTCTATGTATTTTGTTTTGTAGGATATTTGCTCGAAGAGCCAAGCACTTGGTTTGTTCATTACCGATCCCACCTGCATTAGCATCAAAAGGACCGGCTTGCGTAGTACTTTTCCATCCACAAGATCCCCTTGCTGTGGCATTCGATCGAGTCCGCACCGAGCAGCCACTGACATTCTACCTGCCATCTTCGCCAGAGGATTAGCTAGGTGGGTCTATTCATGACTTTACATACTGTCGAAATCCAAAATAATTTTTCTATAGAAAATGAGATCTACTGCACCCTTACGTGAAATGCACGTCGCGTTAGTGGGTATGGCTGGATCTGGAAAATCAGGTAATTTTTTGATCTGACTACCAATTTCTTGTGATATATTTGAAAATCTGACTGCATTTTTTGTTGATTGACCGGTTTTTTCCTATTACAGTCTCTTATCAACTTTCCCTTTTCGTTTCACGCTTAGCTGCAGGATTATTTCTTGTTTTTCTTTCTTTTGAAGACGTACTTTAGTGTGCAGTTTAGAGTGGGGCTTCCAGTGGCTCGATTTAGTGAAGTAAATGATGTTTTGATGTCTTTAGTTACTGCTCACAACTGTGGTTTTATAATTCAACACATATATTTTTAAGCCATTGCCGTCAAGTACATCACCAAACGCTTCATCGGAGAGTACGACTCGACGTTGGGTCAGTTCAATTCTATTAGTTCCTTTTAACGAGCAAATTTACTCAAAAATTATGTAGAGGACACCTACTGTCGTCAAGATACGGTAGCTGGACAGCCGCTGATGGTTTGGATCATGGACACAGTAGACGATGCATCACGGGATGAAATGCGTTGGTTAGCATGGGCAGATGTGTATTTAGTGGTTTATGATGTTACCAGCCAGCTGAGCTTACAGTAGGTTATGAACGAGTTATTAATGACACTTTTCTTATATTCGCGTCACAGATACGCTGAAAGCATTTTGGAACGAATAGCATCGCATGAACATCTGCTATGTGCGAGAGAGCATAAGACCATTCTGCTTGGAAACAAGAACGATTTGGAGAGATACAGGTAGCTATCGATCCAGTTGATTGACTTTTTTGTTGAGTGATTTTACGCAGGCAAGTTTCTGAAGCTGAAGGTGAAGCCATGGCCACCAAATACAAAATTCAGTTCGCTGAATCAACTGCAGCTGGTGATCCACGTCCTCTGTCGCAGTTACTGCATACAACTTTCCAGGTGGCTCTTTTGAGTGGGAATTTTTTATCGGACTTTTATGATTCTAGAATATTCTGACCGGCACAAGAAGTCCTTCACCGCGATTGTGCTCTTCAGATTCAGAGATTGTAACACCAAGTCAGTGTTTTGGATTGATTATAATCGTTATGCACATATAGAACGATATTATTTTCCCACCCACCGCAGCCTCTGTATTTACTGCGGTTTTTCTGAAATGTCATAGAAAATCAGTTCTCTCAGATTCTACAGTTATTTCTGGAATCTTTGAGAGCACTTAATCATTTTTACTAGCTGTACGTTTTTCAAGAATTTGATTATAGTATAGTTCTATCCCTGAACTTCATGTTACCGTGAAATTTCAAAAATTTGCTGATTTGTGAAGGATTTTGCTGATTTTTTCGTTAAAAGGGCTTTGATTGTTTCAGGGAAATCTGCGTTTTCTGCGTTACGTTCGGCAAGTAGATCCAGCCAAGTTCGTACAAAAGCATCGAAACCGGTACAGTTGCACAAAACACCAAGTTTGAGCAAACTTAAGACGGGCAGCAAGTTGTTGAAGCTTTTTCACAACTGAACATTTGTCTTTCATTAGTTCTGAAGTAACTGGATTCTATTTTTCTAGACGTTTGTTATTTAAATCCGCTAGATTCTACATTCTGAAAAAATAAACGTTGTTTAGTTTTTTTTGATTACTAGGTGCCATAAACATCTTTTACTTTTGCCTTGTATCTATTGATTGTATGTTAATCATTTTATGTGTAAATATGGTTTTTTCATGTTCTACTCTAGAAACAGTGATATTTTCTTGAAGCCAATTTGCAATATCGAAGCCTTGTCCAGGTATTCGTTGCTTTATTCGTTGCTAGGGTTTATTTGCAATAAATTCTCATTCACAGCTTTCACGTCAGAATGGTATTCTCCAGAATTTTTCTTGTGTTTTACACACATAACTTCCCGAGTTAGAATCTCTAATGTCTATAGTAAATTCCTAGTACAAGACGGGTATTATAGTGTCACTGTGGAACAACATGCGCGTAAGGGTAGACCACATGGTGTAAGCCCTGGAAGCATGTGCGCTCGATGAGAATTTGCTAGGCGCGCTTTTGTCGACATTGCAAGGTCATTTTTTACAAAAAGGTCCTAGATATACAAATTTTCTATTGATAAACGTTCTTTCTTTACAATTAGGGGTAAGGAAGGAGAAGCTATCAGGGATTGGGAACTACAGATGAGGGACACCAAGGAAGCTGCGCTACCGGTATAGTTCTTAGCCCGAAACCGGATTGTGGTAGAATCAGGAATAAAAATTGTTTGATTCCCTTGCATGTTTCTGTTGATCTATATGCTAGATATGATCGTCTCCACGATTCGTGTAGAGGTATATTGCAGACTTTGCCTGATAGCACAGGTAAACTTGTTAAACTTCCACGTCATAGCATTGTTTTTTGTACTCTCTCGCTATCAAAAATCGCCGCGCTTTGAGTTGGCAAAACCCGCCTCTACAAGAATTGTGGAGCCGATAATACCTTTTTAAAAAATAGACACTGACCATTTTTGAGTTACTGGGGTCAATGTTTATGCCAAATAAGTAATGGTCAGCTTGATACTACAATTTATTAGTCGAAAGCATCATTCGATTCCCGGGCAGAATCCCATAATAACGTGATTGTCTAACAATAACATGAATCTAGGGTTTTTGATACTAATCTGGGCCTTTTAATGCTTGCTGCCTTTCTGTCAAATAGTCTCTATGCCGTGTTTAGTGCTCCAACTGTGACGTAATACTCATACAAAAATGAATGTTTAATTTCTTCATATCAAACAAGAATCATTTTTTTTTCAAATGTTGTTTTATCGCTTGTTAGTTCCACTAGTTGACTGACTCCATTCTTAGAATGCTCAAGGCGCGGAAACGTTCTGCTTCAAAACTCGATGAGTTGTTACGCGAAGGAGCAACAGGAAGTAGGTGGTAATGAGCGGTTACAAATTTATGGTAAAATAGATTTTTTTGTTTCAGAAAAGCCAGCCGTAGACGTAGACAGGGAGCTGATGTCAACCGCAACTCGTCTGATGAAAGAAAAGTTACCTTTCAAAAAAGTGCAGGATCCATATGATGTCACGCAGCTCTACAAAGATTCGGGGTACTGTAACATTGACTGATGTGTCTCACGAAAATTTCGATATTTAGATTCTCTATAATGGATAAGGAGAAGGAAACAGAAGCTGTAAGGCGCATAGCGGAATTAATATCTTCGAAGGAGCTCCCTCCTAGCGCTTTGGATCGAATGCACGGCAAGAAGGCGACCAATCACAAAAAAGTTTGGAAAAGAAAGTTGAAGCACAAAAAGAAGAATGGAAGTGCAAAGAAATAGTATCAGTGTCAGATCTCGAGCTTGTTGTATGTTTCAATATTATTATGTTCTGTTTGCTATGCTGTTGTTTTTTGTTGATTTTATCATGGCTATTGTTTAATAGATAAAAGGTAGTCTTATGTAATTGTTGGGCCTGTTTCTAGGAGCAGGGCTCGGCACGAGGTGGCTTACAAGCAAGCTGGATATCGTTTTTGGGACGAAAAGCAAAGGGGGTTTCGTTTTTGTGACCGAAGAGACACGGAAAATTGGCGACGACGACCTTTTTTTTTTAGTCGACGTTTCGTTTTTTGGGGGATTTTGGGGAATTTTTCAGGTTTTTAAAGGAAATTTGGTTGAGGGTCAAAGGGGACTTCGTAAAAATTCCCAAAAGTCAAGGGGGACTTCGTTTTTTCCATTTTCATCTAGCCACCTCGTGCCGAGCCCTGTCTAGGAGAGGAGGTCGAGGACGAACAGCAGAATACAGAACAGTTTCTGAAAACAGAATAGAACAATGAGAGCAAAACAAATAGGCCGCAGCGGCTGGAGGACTACATGTCGCCGAATTTGGAAGAGTCCCGCGCGGATTCCCTGCAGGAACGCATGCCCGCGCATGTATAAGGGTGCGTATTTGTCGCAAATGACCGCGGTGACCGCCCTTTTCCGGCGACATAGTCCTCTACCCGGCCGCAAGCCGCTGCTTTACATAGCGCGGGGTAAATCATCAGTATGTCGAAATACAATCTGTGTCAACCACGTGGTCGCTTTTTTATAGCAACTACGCATCCACTGCGCGAGAGAGCATTGCAGGGCATTGCGCCGTGATCTCCGATTGATGCGGCAAATTCAAACGCACACGAAGCACGCGTCTAGCGTTGCGCTTGAGCTGATCGGAAAGGGGAGACGTCGTACACAGATTGTACAAGCACTGCGAAATATTGTGCATCCTTTAGGGTTGTTTCAGACTGCAGTCGCTGCAGCAGCGACAGTCGATCGATCGATATCCTTTGCCCGCCCCAGTCTGACTGCAATTGCTGCAGCGACCGCAGTATGAAACAACTCTTATAATTGTTTCCATATGAACCATCAAGGTGACTGCCTTTCAATCATTTTAACACGTTAACTCCAGCAAATTTAGGGCGATTATCTGAAATTGACATGTTAACACGTTTCGGACCGGTGCTGCACATGGTGCAGCACCCTGTTCTGAAGGATCTTCTTGACGTTTACAGGAGGTTTTATTTAAGTCCAAGGTTATCAAGTCAAAGGCATAAGCTTCTACTTTCCAAGTGAGCCTGTAGAGTTGTGCCGCCGATATCTGTTTAGGAGATATGAGCACAAATCGAACAGCAATTGCAACGAAACGCGGCAACGCGAACGACGCGTGCGACGTCGTTTTCTTTGCTTCAAATTCAATGAGAAAAACCGTGATTTCAATAATGATGTGTATCGTGTACAACATAGATACTTTTGGATACTATTAGAAACTGAGTTATTGTTTCTATCTTTCAGAAAAGCACAGAAGTCCTTCTCAAGTGGCAAAATCACTTCGAATTCACTCAGAGATTTGGGTATGGAGCTTATCCGACATGGTCATTACAGATGCAGCACACAGCCTTCAAAATAAGGCCTTTGTTGGCCAACGGTTGAAAAAACACTCTTTTTCGCCGCGCGCGATTTCGCAGTCCGAAACGTGTCAAAATGATTGCAAGGCAGCCACATTGATGGTTTATATGGGAAGAATTTAGTGGCGGCAAAAGTGCAAAAGCAAAACAAATTTGTTTTCGTCTAGATACCCGACGCGGCGCTTCACCGCAGTTTTGACTAACTAGACCACAGTATGCAACAAGCCTTTTATCAAAAGAGAAAGGCCACAACACTCAACACTTACAAAGGAAAAATAAACACAACGACAAATATGCGGCAAGAAACTACAAAAAAGACAACGAAGAGGCTATGAGCAAAGGCAGCACGAGATAAGGCTGGAAGTAAGGAGTGAGGCAATGATTGAGAAATCGGGCATAGCCATATCGAGATCAATAGATTTTGGCGCGCATTTCGCGCACTCGCTGATCACCGAGGCAAACATACATGAATCTACCAAATAAAGATCTACATAGCTATCGGTTGTTCACACGACTGTAGCGGGCATAGGCGTTGCACCTCTAAAGCGGCGCGGTTTTGGTAGCGAGAGATCACTCTTACCAATGTGAGCGGATGGAGAAAAATCAACTGTTTATCGACTTTGACCAGCTCGCATCCTAGTCCGCAAGTCGTGCCCGCTACAATTGAGTGAAGGGACGATACCACTGAATGGAAAAAGGTCAACATTTTACAACACGACAACAAAACACTACAAACAAGAACAACAAAACACTACAAAGCAGACAATACTAGCGGCCCATTATCCCCAGTAGCCTACCTCTTCAAACTCAGGAGCAGATGTCTAGCCTAATTCAAAAATGACAATACGTTCACAATTTTGGCGGATGCACCATACCTCAAGCAGGTATCGAAATACTGTCGATTTTCTCTTTACCATTGTAGATTCATCATGTATGTCATAATCACCATTTAAAAGATTTTCGTTGACAAAGTTAATCGCTTGTCGTTATTGCTGTTCACGGACCACTCTAAGTCAACTTCACTGCGATTGATATTCTACTTGGCGACCTTTACTTTCCTGCAGGCATTATTTCGGTGCGTATTATATTGTTTATCAATCTTATTTATCTATGTAGCACACTCAGTGGTGCACCGAAGAATTAAACAAAACGAGGTAAATCCAAATTGATTGTGAAAATTAGGCATATACATGCGCAGTTTTCGCTTTGAAATGAATACAGTTCCCCTGGTGGTCATGTCGTTCTCCTAGTATGGTAGGAAAGATCTTCGACCGAACCTATCCCTGATCCGGAAGCATGTGTAGCAACAGTATACCAGGGCTTGAATGGCCAACTTAACTCGAGATGGACGAATACACTCGAGACCTTGGGCGAACGGACAAAGAGGATCTCAAGGTATAGGAGAATCACTAGACCTCGAAATCTTCGAATGGCTACTCTCGCTCAGGAAAGGTAATGTAAGGGAATGCGGGGACTAAGAAAATCTCGAATGAGACCCTTCATAGATTTAGAGCAAGAACAATAATACAAAAATGAAAAAAGCACAAGATTAAAAGAGTGACGAGTTTGCAAGTTGTTCAGGGTTGACATAGGCGGTTGACATAGGCAGAAACGAAGATTGAGCGATCTTGATGTTCGAAATATGGATGAGTTAGTTGCGATAGAAAAAAATTCTTCTTTGTAGTTCTGACGGCTCATGTTGAATCCACCTGCTCGAGTGCTGTGTGGTCTAAAAATCCAGTATCCGCTCGGCCTCAACTTGATCTTTAAGCGTATCAAGCTAAAGCAAAACACAAGATAAAATCCTTCTGAATTCAATGTCGCAAGTTCAGAGCAAACAAATAGTGAACTGTAAAGTGGTAAAGCTTGGGGTAGTTGGGATTTGGAAATCATTTGTAAAAAAAACTATTCGAGTAAAAGTTTTCTTCACTTTTTCGAGCAACTTTTACGTTATTTCAAAAAAGGATTCCATACGGTGGGGTATATTCCAAATGTGGCAAATATGTCTTACACAGAAGCCAACAATGATGTGTCTTACAGTGTGGATATCTCGTAAAATCAGAAAAAGGCTCTACAAAGCTTTTTTGCTAACGGAGCAGTAATGTGAGATACGACACCAAGATCCTTGCTAGTGGAATAGCGTTCGAGTGGAATTCCGTCACAGAGATGAGCTGGAGAATGGGAGCTGCCAAAATGTATCATTTTGGATTTCTGGGCATTTACAGGAAGGTTCCATGTTTTGCACCAAAAATCAGGTTTGGTATCAAGGAAAATTGCTTTGAATGCTTTGGTGAAGCATTCAAGCAATTTTTCCTTGACACAAAACATGACTTTTGGTGACTTGTTTCCAGTTTTCGTAGCAAAAGATTTTATATCTTCGCGAACATCTAAATTTTGAGTTCTGATGAGTCGTGAGAAATTTGGGCAATTATGTTTTTGAATAAGAAAAAGGAGTATTGACAGTACGTATCCTTGCGGCACTTCGCTCTTACAGTGGCGTCACTCGAAGTAAGAATTTTCAACGCGGACAGTCATGTCACGATCATGTAAATGGAAAGTAAGCCAAGACAAAAGTTATCGCGAATCCATAGTTCCCAAGCTTTGTAACTAGCTTGCAATGGTCCAAGACCTTGCGAATGTCTTGGATAAATCAAAAAAGTGCATCGACGGATTCACCACTGTTTAGAGCAGTATTCCAATGGTAGATAGAATCGCATAGTAAAGTAGTAGTAGAACCCGCGCAGGAAGTAATACTGGACGGCAGGAATGAATTTTTCATTCTCAAACAATTCTAGAAGCTTGTCTTTGATATTTCATGTATTTTCCTTAAAGAAGCAGTGATACTGATGGGCCGAGAATGTGAGAGAGTACTGGGATGCTCGCATTCAGGTATGGAGGTTATTAGTGCTTCCATAGAAGATCTTTCCCCTGTATCAACGAAGCGCTAAAAATAAGCGAGTACGGAAAACACAAGGCGTTTGCACATTTACGGTAGACAACTGGAGATACCCCATTGTTTTTGATCTTCTCAAAATTTCGTATACATTCGTTGAATTGACATCAGATTTATACGATCAGCTGTTAACGAGCAATAGTGAAACGCGGCTGTGAGATCGTCAATGGAATTTGCTAGTCCTTCAGCTTTTTCTTTGTTTTGAAGTAGGTCAGGTCTAGTCTAGTTAGTTAGTTACTGTCGACTTACAAGTTATGTAGTTATATTATTTTATTTTACTTTACTTATTTTTTTGAAGTTATATTACAACCTAATATCGTGGATAAACAGTCTCTAAGATGATATTGAAGAAAATATTTACAGTTCTGATACAATCGAGTAGTATCACTGTTCACAAAGAATGATCCTTCAATTCATACAACAACAGATGATATGGTTTTAACACAAAAATTCAAAACAATGTTTGTTGCATTGAAAGACATTAGCAAGTTTCACTAAAAAATCTCAATTTAAAATATACCTCCTAAGACATAAACCATCAGCCAGTGGATCTTTTGTCGAGAGCACGGGTTATACTGAAACGATTCACTTGCTTGAATCAACGCAATGCAGTTATGACACCTGCCGGGCGGTGTATGGCAAGTAAATCATTAGGTTGTCTCACAAGTAAGTTTTCTCCATTTCAAATTTTCCCTCAGTAAGTCACACTTTTCTCAATTCTAATGAGGAAGCAGGTTACCTTCGATAGAGCAAAGCATGCTCTATAAGATGGCGTGTAGGTGTTCAAACCATCTTCAGCACATCACGAGTTAGAAGCCGAAATCTGAGAACTTGAATGCTCAAAAAATTAATGAGATTAGGGCTCGCATGAGGTGGCTTTTTCAATTTTTCTAAAACGAAGCCCCTGCAGACTTCGCTACAAAAACACCTATGACGCGATTATGAATGGATTAAACAGGAATAACGAAGAATATCAAAACAAAACTTAAAAACTGCATTTAACAGAAGAAAAAAAACTAAAAAACTTTTCTCTGAAATGGCGGCATACTGTGCCCGGCGCCCACCATTGCGCGCTTGGAGCAGGCTTGACGCCGTCGTACAAAATATGTGGAGGGCTGCAACTAGGCGAGAAGGAGGGAGTCTGAGGGGATTCAAAAACTCAGTTGTAGGGTTCTTGATGTAGAACAAAGTTGTGTTAAGCTTGTGAAAAATTATGTGAAGAATGAAAAACACATGACTTTTTCTTTTTACAGCCACCCCAGGTGATTGTGAGGGAGGAGGGGGGGGGGACTGAGGTTTCCGCTCAAACGATGCCCCCCCCCTTGCCTTCTACCCCAAAACGATATACAGCTTGCCCGACCACCTGTGCCGAGTCCTAATCGAGATCTTTTTATATCTCTGTCCAGAGAAAACTTGCCAGAAGCCAAACTCGCTCACGGATATACATTCTATGTGCCGTTACTGTTTGCTGTGCTAGAAACGGAAAAAAACTATATTTCTTGCGTCTTAAAAAAGTGATGTTGCCTTGTTCTCACATAAGTAAACGTACATCATAAGCCTCTAGAAGTACAATCCAGATTTCCAGCTTTTCATAAGTTCTAGTTCTCGATAAAATATCCTAGGAAAAAAAGCTAAATTCGGTATTTCTTAAAAATTAGCGCTTCCAGGAAGCTGAAAGTTTACCTATCTATTTCCAAAAGCGGTCGTGTACCTATGTGGGAATAGTGCGCATCGATTTTTTGAAAACTTGAAAATTTTAGTCTTGTTTCTAGCACAAAAACAAATACAGCAACAGCACATATGAATGTCTTGTGTGGATATATGTGAAAGTGAGTGTGGCATCTGGTAAGTCTTATTTGGTCAAAGATATGAAAGAATTTCAGTTGCTCGAGCATCCAGATGTTCTCAGATCTCGGCTTCGAACTTGTGATGTGCAGAGGCTGGTGTGGACATCTACAAGCCATCTTATAGAGCTTGCTTTGCTCAATCAAACGGTGCCCTGCTTCCTAATCAGAAATGAGGAAAGTGCGACTTATTGCGGGAAAAACCCAAATTGAAAAAACTTATGAGACAACCTAATTTTATCCAATTTTGGTATCATCTATTAGAGAGAGTATTTGGGCGTCAGCGGTGGAACTTTGCAGGAGTGTAGGGCGTTAGGCGAAATATCCAATTTCTTATAGCTAACTCCCCGTGTAAAACTCTTCGGCTGCAAAAACAGGAGGGGAGGGGTCGGGGTCAGGGCCCGGCAGGAGGTGGCATTTCAGAATTTTGAAAACGATATCCCCTTTGAAACCAAAATTTCTTACGACTTCCCCTTTGACCCTATTTTTGACCCCGTAAGTCCCTGACAAACAGATATACACAAATAATAAGATAAGCGGCCTCAGCGCTTATTATAGTTGTACTACCTGGCTTTCCTGGTCCAGCCCGGGTCATCAAGGTTTCAGCTCAATGGGTTCATCCGCAAAGGAATCTATAAAAAAACATAGGGTCAAGCTTGCACAAACTTTGACGTTTATATATCTAAGATACTACTTATTTATTAGTCAGCTGCGAAACTTTACAATTTACAATAACCGATTGCGATTGAAGCGCGCTATCCGAGGCCGATCATAACGCTGTGAACCCTATTTGAGGCTGTATCGAAGCGGTGCCTTGATGGTTTTGGAAGCGGATTTGAACATATAGTAATACTCTCGACCTAGTCCATATTTATGTAAAGAAATCCGGGAAATTATGTGAAGGGAAGCAGGGAGCCACCCCAGGTGGCTCCCAGGTGGCGCGGGAGCCACCTAATTTCGAAAAACACTCACCATTTTTGAAATTCACATAAGTTTCTCATAATTCTTAATACTTTTTTTGTGCTCATGGTCCTCCAACTACACAGCAAATTTGGTGCCATATCGTTACTTGTGCATTGAAAACGAGCCTATTTTATTATTTTCATCTTACAAGAATTGCGATTTGAATTTCCGCCTGCGGGCAGGCTAGCGATCGGAGCACAGAATCTTCACATTGCTGGAATCTAAGTTCATAGGACAATAGCATCAACAAGGAATGATGAATAAAGAATGATATGTGCATTGTTTATCGGTAAACTAAGGGGAAGTCGTATTTTGGGGTCCAGGGCTCTGCCTTGGACCCCAAAATACGACTTCCCCTTTGCTTTTTCGGGCCAAAAACGATATCCAGCTTGTGAAAGCGCCACCCCGCCGGGCCCTGGTCGGGGTCGGACATGATTCAGAACCAATAAAAAATGGCGCATAGTTGTGACTAACGGCTTTGAGCTGCCTGCATTTTGCACGTTTTGTCGCCCAACGCTGACCCTCCACTTTGAAGCATGCTTTAGTACATAGTAGAAACAGAAGTAGTTAGCCAGATCATAACAAAAAGCGCACCCTATGATTTGGCCGCTTTTCCGAACTCAGCACTTTAGAACGCCTCCTTTTGATTTTACTCCTACATTAGAGCCCTTTTTCGCCGTTTTCGCGCTTTTTAATGTGGATTTTCGGATTCAGCATAGCGAATAGGCCTCAATAAGCACAATATGTCAAAATCGAGTTCCCGGACACTGCCTTTAACAGAACCAAGGATAAAGCCAAAAGTTTTGCTCACGAGGTTAGCTTTTTTCCATTTTCTCTTCCTTTGCTTCCTTCTGCTTCTGTCTTTAGTCTTGCCAAAAAGTGAAAAGAGATCCAAAAGTTCTTCGATCCACTCCACTCTCGTTTGTACAATGATATTGCTTTCGAAATATTGAAATCTACTTTGAAAAGTAGGTTGTTTTCTCCTTAATTTTTCAAATTTTAATTCTATTTCAATGTTCAGCACCACATGCCAGAAAGAAGGTACCAGCAGAGTTCGTACAAAAAGGGTATGGATGCCGAAGATTGTCCTGTGCCAGGTAGAATTTTAAGGTTGAAACTTAAAAAATGAATAATACGGAAATGTTAGAGCTCTTTTATCGCGAATACGAAGGGTCGAAATGGATGATGTATCCGAGGAATTGAAAAAGCTACCAGAGAGGCCAGTTTCCTGCAAATGCAACTGCCAGATATGCACATATATTACGTGGATGAGGTCATCACGGTAGGTGTTTTGTTTTGGTGATGGTCTCCAAATGATAATCATTTCACTCAGCACTGAAGTCGGCTTACGCGCAATCGTAGGGGACGAAGTTCATAAACTGAACCCTATAACCATACACTCCGGCATGGAGAAAGGACAACTGTATACAATACACGCCGCATGCGGTGGCGGCTTCGAGGTTTGTTATGAAATCTGATTTTGAAAGCAAAAACCGATCTTCATTCTAGGTACCAATTTTGTTCGCTGTTACACGTCAGAAAACTCGTGCCGTTTACAAGAAGATTTTTGAATGCTTGCGCCAACGACTGGGCAATGGAAATTTCAGGATCATCGTCGATTATGAAAAGGTAAGTTAGTTAAATTTGAAGTAAGTGATAAAAAAAATTCATGATTCAAGATTAAGAATTCAAGATTTTTTATAGGAATTGGATTCGTGGGTTAAAAACGCATCCTCCCTTTGAGGAACTCATCGAATGCTTGCAGAGAATAAGCATCTTCGCGCTAGGAACACTACTGTACATAGAAGAGTTAGTTGATCAAATTCTATTAAAAAATTTTACATTACGACTTTTTAGAATCCGCGCAGCACAAAACCTTTGCGAAGACGAGATGTCCGTCGCCGCCAAAGAATATCTGCCGCTATGGAAAAAGCTTCAAAGAAGAGTATCGCTCATGAAATCGCATCAGCACAGCGACTATCAACTCATACTGCATGGCAATGTCCAAGTTTGTAACCGAAAAAACTATATAATTTGCATGTTTTCGTTGTTTTGGCTAAATGAGAGCCATCCGAAACTAGGTTTTGATTTATTTTGGAATTATTTTCTGATTTTTTTGCATGTAATTTGAATTCATGCATTGTTCAGTCAAATGATAATAAAAAATTTCATAGTGATTGTAGTTTGATTTGTTATCTGCCTTCTGAAGTGTGAAGTCCCTGAGATCTAGGATAAGTTGATACATGTTCAACAGCTGGTTTATATTTCGTCGTTTGTAGTTTCTGTTTGCGTTTGATTTTTATTCTTGGTTGTTTTGATTAAAAGAGAATAACATAAAATAACTTGTAATTAGATTGTAGTAAAATAGCTTTGATGATCTTGTTTTACATTGAACTTTTACATCAGAAGAGAAGTAACCTTTATCTTTATTTAGGCTTCCTCTATCTACACTTTTACGTAATAACTTTGCAACTCCTCTTTATACACTGCTTACAAAAATAGTGCAATACATAAAACTGGTAAGAGCCAAATATGGAAGCATCTATGACACTTCACTTTCTTTTCCTTCTTGTCTTTTGGTGGTGCACGCGTTTCATGTTCCTTTGACTTCACAGGAAAGGGTAATGGACCACCAAAAAATCCTCCGCTATAATCTTCGTCATTTCCTCCTCCCAGACCTAAAGTAAACAGTAAATGAGTTATCGCGTCTGGAGTTGCATGCGCTCTAATTGGAGGAGGGGCATAGTTTCTGCAAGTATTTTCTTTCTGCCTTAGCGAATGTTTTTGACATTCCGCCTACAAGTTAACAAAAATAGGCACTAATGCGGTGACTAGTCAAGGTCAGGAATGATTTATCTTCTTCATCTTTTTCTCTTCACTCTTCAACCGCGCGAAATTAGCGAATTAGGATTTTGCCTCAATCAAAATGATTGCTGAATTGTAACTGGATAAGGACGAACTTTGTGATGCAATTTTGGAAGCTCATGTTACAAACACATAAGTAAATCATCTGATCTGCAGGTACTCTCCCAAACGCTTTGCAACCTTAAAGGCAGCGTCCAGGCAAATCTGGACACTCGGGGCTCTCGCATGGATAGTAATCTTGGGGCCCTAACTAAGCCACTGCCCAAACTGCAGCTCAGATAGTGCTCTAACGCTGTGATATTCGTCTCGAAACTGTACCCCGGGATCGTATTTCGCATGTATTCATGGTGCAAACTATCAACTTCGCGCGAGGACCCATGGGTTGCGCCATGAATCCATGCGAAATACGATCCCTGGGGCCAGTTTCGAGGCGAATATCTCAGCCGTTAGAGGACTACCTGACCTGCTGGTTGGGCAGTGCCTTAGTTGGGGCCCCAAAATTATTTTCCACGTAAAATCCCCGTAGTCCAGATTTGCCTGGACGCTGCCTTCAATTGTCACGTTGATACTTGTTCAACCTCATGACGGAGTCTGGATGTTTTACTCCTTTGAACGAAAAAGAAACAAGTTTATACTCGTAGCGGGTGCATATCGTTCGTACCCGAGCAAGCACAAAAGTACCACGTCATCTCGCTGCCTTTAGCTCTTTTGAACGTGTTAACCTTGGGTAGTTCGGTTGAAATCTTAGGAGAAACGTGTCAAAAAATGCGGAAGGCAGCGTTGCACCACGCACGCACGCTGGTTCACATGAGAATTTTTTTGGGGCACACAAGATAGCTTTTCGAGTATTTTAGTTCTACAAGGAAATTGTCAGAAGTCGCCATGGCCTTTTGAAATGAGATGGGTACCGTCTGAAGCAACTTGAAACGCTGAGTGAACAACTTTAGATGAAAAACCATTTTGGGTTGGTAACTATTCAAATCAATCTACGCGGAATTTACAACGCTGAAAGTGGCCAAAACTTTAAGCCTATGTATTTTGACTCAAACCTGGATGAAATAATTAATCAGTGCTTAATTTTAAATTCTGCTCTTCTACAATATTATGTTGTACTTCTTGACAAGAATTCGAGTGACTTGTAGGTCACTGAGATGAGCATACTAAAATATAATTATAATCGTACGATTTAACGAAAAAATATCGAATAATCGACTTCTAAAAAAATTCGAATGAATGAAATTTATGGTTCTGTGTCTTCCAATCTTTTCAAATTCGAGTATTCGAACAATGTTATGTTTTATCCGGAATCAATATTACTAAACTAGTTGGTCGAATATCTAACTGATCGAATAATCGAAAATTACAAATTTGAGAATTTTCGACTATTCGCCTATTCGAATAATCGCGCCTGGCCGAATATTCGACTATTCGAACAATTCGAATAACCTATTGGCTTGAACATTGTTAATTTTTCCCCGTTGCAATTTCTGCAGCAAGAATTAATTGCTATATTTAATCCACGATTTGGATGTAATTATTTGCGTAAGTTCAGAAATCAATGTATCAGATTTTGAAAAAGATAACTGGATTATTGACGCTTTGTCAAGATCTACGTCAATAAACTGAAAAGGATTTACTTAGACATATATCTCAAAGTGTTCGTTGTCTTTTATAGCGACTATCAACTACTAACAAATATCTGATTCAAATTTTCTTCTTCTGTATGGAGATTCCTCTCAAAGCTATCTTACATGAAAAAGCTGAAATGGGTACTTGTTTGCAATGCATGTTAGCCGGCAATCAAAAAACAAAAACGCTTTCCTCCCGTAAATATCTAGACCTGTTTGATTGTTTTGAAATGAACCAAGTAGTTACGTTGCCTACTCGGGGTAACTCCATTCTGGACATCGTTCTTGCTTCTGCAGGCCTTGTCTGCTTCGAAGGGACTTTACCTCCCCTTGGTTGTGCTGACCACGCTATAGTCAAATTTACCTTAGAAATGCCAAAAATCAAGGAATGCACAAATTTAGTGCGGGATTTTGATTCTGCTGATTTTGCTACCATCAATAGAGAAATAGCAGCCATTGATTGGTTTCAAGTATTTAATGGATATCTTGATATTGATGATGTCTACTCAAGATTTCTCACAGTACTATATAATTTGGTTGAAACTTACGTCCCGCTGAAAAGGTGTCACGGTTTTGTTACCAGATATCCTCCTCATATACTGAACCTTTTGCATCAAAAGAGGAGACTCTTTCTCTCTAAAATTCCCACTAACTGTGAGCAATACAGAACTATATGCCGGACCCTTTCTCATCATCTACAACGTTTTTGGGATTACAAACAAAGGAAAATGGCGAAGAATAATAACATGCGCGCTTTGTTTAATATGATGAGCTATCGTATTTCCAAATCCAAAGTTGGTGCCACTATTCTCGATGATGACGGGCACACCCTACTCTCATCTTTAGACAAGGCTAATGCTTTAGTTGAATGTTTCGCAAGTGCTTATACTAGCACTTGCCTGAACATTTCCCAGATCGACTCTTTAACCGGTAGTGTGTTTCCCAATCCAGTTTTCTCTCACGCTGAAGTTTACAAACTTTTAAAAGCGATCAAACCTTCGATGTCATACACTTCCGAAGACATACCTGGTTTGTTCTACAAGAAATGCGCTAAAGGCCTTTCCTTGCCTCTAACGCATATCTTTAACATTTCTTTAATGACTGGGAATGTCCCAAGAATCTGGAAAAGAGCTATGGTTGTGCCCATACCTAAGTGTGCATGTGCAAAAAAGGTTTCCGAGTTTAGGCCAATTAGCATTTTGCCTACGCCCTGTAAGATCATGGAGAAAATCCTGGCAAAATCTATCCTAAAATGGTGCTTAGAAAACCACTTTTTACCCGATGAACAACATGGATTCATACCCGGCTCCTCTACATCTACACAACTGGTAAAATGTTGCCAAGATTGGATTATGGCACTTAGTGAAGGCAAATCAGTTGATATCATTTATTTCGACTTAAGTAAAGCATTCGATTCTGTCAATCATACTGGGCTTCTCATGAAACTTGAGAGCATAGGCATTAGAACCAATCTTTTAAATTGGTTCAAATCATACCTATCTGAACGGACCTTTGAAGTTCTTTTCCGAGGTCAAAAGTCTACAGCAAAACCCTGTACGTCAGGTGTTCCTCAAGGAAGTGCTCTCTCCCCACTGTTATTTAACATCTATACCATGGAACTACCAAATGTATTGAGAATTGATTCTCGTATTAATGTAGCAGCTTACGCTGATGACATTAAAATCTATGGTAGTTACGATAACAATGATAGTCTAGTAATACGCGAAAAGTTGAAATTATCTGTTCATCAAATGCTGCAATGGGCTAAAGAATGGGGAATCAAAGTTAATTCATCCAAAAGTCAGATACTGAAATTAGGCGCAGATTCGACTATGTTCGATTATGGAATTCCCTTACAAGTTCAGCAAAATGTTAAGGACCTTGGAGTGGTTGTTGATTCCTCTTTTAAATATTCATTACACATTGATAATATTGTTTGCAAGGCCAAACGCACAATGTACACCTTACTAAGAAACGTACATGTACATGATATCAACATCTGGCTGAAACTCTGGAAAGCTTACGTACTTCCTGTCTTGGAATATTGCAGTCCAGTTTGGAATCCTGATGTCAAAAAAGTGATCGAAAAATTGGAAAAAGTACAACGTACATTCACTAGAATCTTATTCTACCGAATATTCCCAAATCCTGATTACCCACAGGCTCTTCCTGATTATAAAACTAGACTAACCATGCTAGGACTCAAAAGCTTATATCACAGGAGGTTATTAGCTGACATATTGCTAGCATACAAGATCTTCAAATCTGAAACACGTTTGAGATTTTCGGACTTCTGTATTTTACGTCCCACCAGTATCCGTCGTTTTAGAATTAACGCCTACACACATAATTCCAAAGGATGGCGAAAACGTAGCCTACAGAATTCATTTGGTACCCGCATGTGTCACATACTGAATAAACTTCCTATGGAACTAATAACCTTGGATCCACATAAATTAAGGAAATTCCTAATCGAACATAATTACCTTGACAAATTTAGTTCACATTGTATTTAACTTCTCTGTTTGAATTTTTTGTCTCCCTATGATTACGTTCCTTTACTACTGCATTTTTCAAAGCATGTTTCGGGAGACGAAAGCAAGTGATAGTTCTTTATTCGCATCTACTTTCATATCGTATCCTTTTTCCTTTCTCGTCGATTCTGACTCCTCTCAATTGTACAGTTCAAGAAAATCTCCCAATATACCGATAACAAGGAAACTACTACTTACTCACGATTGTATTAAAGAACCCTGCTAATTGATTTTTATGTACTTCATCTAGACAACTCAGTGCACATTATTGGAAGCTTTGAACTCGCACATCAACCAGCATTTCGTTGCTCAAATATGGAGTTAATGAAGGAACCAACGGACACATGTATGTATGTATGTATGTATGTATGTATGTATGTATGTATGTATGTATGTATGTATGTATATGGATGGATGGATGGATGGATGGAATGGACGATTCGATGGATGGATTGATGGATGGACGGTACATCATGTACTTGAAAATGACCTGCTACAAGTAATACTTCATAACACTTCATTATTTTGAGCGCAATACATACTACTTATGCTGGTCGCTATGCATGTGTTCGAAGCTCCTGATAATGTGCAAGAAATCCATTGATATTTTTTGAGACCTGATTCATAACACCATTGCCATCCAATTTACTCTACATTATTTACATTCAAACACCATCAAATACATACTTTCCCCAGAAGTTACACTTACAACAACGTTATTCGCGGCCTTATCAGCAGCCCATGAGCTTTTCCTCTTCCTGAACTTATATAAGAACTCTATAAGATTTGTTATTCGGATACGACTCGAAAGTGAGAGCAAATTCAAAATCATTCTTGCCTTTTTCTCCCACCCCCGTTCCATATTTGTTTACCTGTCTTTATCTCATTTGTGAGGTGGTGCATCGTTTACGATGTATTTGATAAATAAATAAATAAATAAATCTGGTACCTTTTTGAAATTATCAGTCGCTGAGTTTCAAGGCTGTGCTTAGCGCCTTTGTAGACGAATTTATGAGCAGTTTAATTGCGAGAGAATCGTACATAAGAATTGCAAAAATCTGCCCAATTTTACATAAGAATTGCAAAACTGGGCAGATTTTTGCAACTTCAGCTCACCTTTAGGCTTTGAGAATAAAAGTAATTTAGCTGCATGATTGGTCTAGCACAGAGCCGAACATAGCTCTGTACTACCATGTTTGCTTTGCATGCACGATTTCTTAGCAAAATAAGAGCCTTTGCCTTTGCGGCTCGTATATAATGCAAATTCAAGATCAGTGTTTCATGCTGCGCTTAATGGTAAGCAGCTCGTCTGGATTGGCCACTTTGATTTCTGACAATTTCCTCGTTAGCAATTTTTGAAACGTCTTTTTTGAGAGGGGGATCTTTCACATTCTTGCCACGTTTCGAAATGTAATATCTAGATTTTACAACCCACACGATTCTTTGAGATATCATTCCTCTAAAAACGTTGCAACCCTTTTTTAATTTCTTAACATGAAATATCCAGATTTTACGCCTTTGGTTATAGAAAAGCAGCTGAGAGTCTTGACTCTTGACAGGTAAGTGCCGTCGCAAGTGCAGCGCTCTGGTCCTCGCAACCTCCTTGTTCGAGCCTTGGGCCACATTAACGTATCTTTTCCGTATTTTTTCATGCGGGCAGTGATTTAAGCTTGCAAGGCAACTACGGATCAAAGGGCGGAGGAACGACCGTTGCCAATAGGTGTTGCCTTCAAGGTCCTTTGGTCTAGTCCTTTCGCACATGCTTATCCAAACTCTGTGAAGAATCAGTGGTCCGCGAAGACAACGCCTAATGGCGGTCTTCGCTTCTTTGCCCAGAATTTTGAAGCTTGGATTATTTGCGCTCTTGCTATCTCATCTCAAATTGCTGCAGACGCAATCTTCAAAGAAAAGTTCATCACTCTCAACAAATAAGAATGGATTTGTCTTCACTGCATTCTTACGAACTCGCGATTGCTTCGAAAAAAGGAACCTACCCTCGATATCAACCCATATGTCTTCCCTCAACATGACGTGGATTACGTGAATTGGTGAGCCGCCGCCTCGCTTTGGGCTTGCGCCACGTTGCGGGAGTACCGTTTGACGTGACGTGGCGCTTAAAACAACGTGGTGCAGGTTTTCTCACGTTAATTCTTGTTGCCCACCACGCCAACGATGCGTCCGCAACGTGGCGCAAGCCCAAAGCGAGGCGGCGCCTTACCAATTCACGTAATCCACGTCATGTTGAGGGAAGACATATGGATTGATATCGAGGGTAGCTAGCCATTCTATCTACTGATCTTTTATTTGAATGATCAATGGAGGGGAACATATTTGAACCTAGTGCGTGCACGGACGGCTAATGTTTTATGCGATCGTCGAACGTTTGAATGAACGCTAATCATAAAGATTCGGTTCCTACTATACTCTGAACTACGTAAAATTTGGTGGCCAAAATTTCCCAAAACTTCCGAGCCAGATATGTTCTGGAACTACGGAAGAACGGAACTTCAGGATCAGTATTTCAAGCTGCTTCAGATAATACCTGTCTTATGTTAAAAGTTCGCTGCTATTTTTGACAGTTCTCCTCGTTAGAATTATGAATACCTTCACTCTCAATAGGTGTCGTTTCGAAAGCGGTTTCTGTAGATGTACTATCTTTTTCTTGTGCCGCACTTTGGTCGACATTTTCACCACTTTTAACACCAGTACCTGAATACCACCGTATTTTTAGCCGAGTTTTCATACAAAATCCTCTGCTCAGCGTAATTCACCTTTAATCTTACAAAAGCCGAGATGCTTGTTGTTGCATGCTCGACTGAGAGCAGTTATCATTGAATCAGGAAGTACTGTATTATTCTCTACTTGCATGTTTACCACGAGGGCTTCTTTACCGAGAATGACTTTTTTCAAACGCGGATTGTTTGCTATGACAAGACTGGAGTATTCTAAAATGTTTTAATTAACAAGAAACAGATTCAAAGCAGGGATTATTGAAGTTAAGTGTAGGGTTTTTTTTGAGTTGTATGGAAGCATTTTTGTATAGACCACTAGCTAACTCAAAGGTATTCTGAGAGGAAGGATTTGAGTGTGATCGTCGATCGACCATGCAAGAACAAAAACTTTGTCCTTCTGGGTCCTTACTCTTGCGTTTTCCCTTTCCCACCCTTCGGCAGCCCGCGCAGTTACCTTTGAGCAGCCTCGCTTCGAATGACCGCAGAATGGTCATCGCGAAAGGAATTGAGTTCTAATTTGGAATTGTATAAGTGGTTTGAGCAGTTGATACGAGTCTATTTTCGTCGCAGATGCTAAAAATCAACAAATCGATGAAAAGGCTTAGCAAGATAGCAAGAAGTAGCTTACAAGGGAGTGCTCAGAAGTCGAAGTAGCCAATCCAGACAAGCTGCATAACATTCGATGCAACTTAGAAAGCTAATTCCAAATCTGTTTTCCATGTCTGCAGAGCGCCTTTGTAAGCGAAGCTATGACCAGCTTTAGTGCGGAAAAATCGTGCGCAAAAACTGGGATTAGGCACATTATTGCTCTTTTAGCTCACCTCTAGGTACGGGCCATATAAAGTGACCTAGTTGAATGTTTTGGTCTAGCACTGAGCCAAGAATGGCTCTGTAGTAGCTCCAAGTTTGCTCTTTACACATACAACTTCTTAGCAAAATGATGGCTTTTAATGGCTTATAATTCCTTCCACAAAAGTGATCTGCAGGAAGACGGATTTGGAGTCAGCGTTTTATGCTGCATCTAATGGTATGCAGCTTACTTGAATTGGCCACTTCGATTTCTGGCCATTCCCTTGCTAGAGAAGCGCGGGGTCGAATCTATATGCGAGCAAAGTTTGGGCTCATTGGTCCACTCTCAAACATTTTTTTATTCGGAACATACATCTTGAAAGGTATGCTTAATGACAAACTTTGAATTCTATAGATAGGGTGGTTCACATAAGATGTGAAAGAGGAAAATTTCCATAACTTTGCTGCAACTGCGTAGAATAAGAAGGTTTCGTCTTCTTTGATAGACTAAAAAAAATCCGTCTGAGATCTTATAGATTATTCTTGAGATGCCCGCCTCTGTCTTTGGTAAAAGAAGTAATTTTGAAAATTTTATAATGCGCGCAATGGTTTTTGCCGATTGGAATCTCGACCGACGCTCTCACCAATTTTCCTATAAGCAAATCACTGACGTGGGTTCAAAAAAGCGGTTTTTTTCTCTCAGGCAGATCAGCGTGAGAATTCGTAGAATTAAACCCGGGCGAGTTGGAACGCTAAACGTTATGTTCGAATGTGGTCCATCTAAAGTTTGACAAGCTGCAAAAAATCCACTAGTCTATGTCATGACATGCTGCAATGATAGTCATCTTCTCTACCTCACGTTGTTTACTATTGTCGTTCTCCGAAGATCGCTGTTTTTCGAAATTACAAAAAAAAAGCATCAGAAGCAAACTGTGAAGGATCGACAGCCTATGGTGACTCTCCATAATATAGGGGCCTGCAGGATCGCGAGAGTCGGACGTGCGTGCGGCCATTGCTCCGCGCACGTCGGATGCGCGTCCGCGACTCAAGTAGGTGCCAACCTTATCTGTTCATTCGGTTCACCATTTTTCTGTTGGATAGTTTAGTGATTTGACCTATGAACCGAACGAACCGGTTAAAGCGGATAAGTCTGGCACCTGCCTTAGTGACGTCAGACGTGCGCGGCGCAATGGCCGTACGCACATCCGACTTTCGCGATCCTGCAGGCCCCTATATCAGCTTTCGGATGGCGTGTAGCTTGTTGGGGAATTTCGCTTTCTGTATGCAAGAAAATCTTTGTTTCTATTATCATTACTTAACAATAGTCTGTCTTGTGTGTATATCTGTCTGTCGCGAAATTCATGGAGCGTGTTGTAGCCAAGGTCTTGAGCTGAAATTTTGGTCATAGCACCCTATTAGCATGTAGGTAAATAGTGCAAAAGCAAAAGCCGATTTGATAAGAACCTTTAAAAACTTCGCGTCAAATGCGTCCACGCGACCTTTGGCCCCCAATGTGAGTCGGTGATTGTACTTTTTGCGAATTTGTGGATTTGCTTAACAAGTAAATGTCCAGATCATAGGCTTAACTCCAAAAAGTGAGCAAAGTATCTATTTTTAAGCAAAATTAGCGCCAAGAAGGAGTGATTGGCAGATCATGAATTTGTCAAGGTTTCAGCTAATTATTTGCGAGGATTTCTGCCAGAAATGTAGGGGACAAAAGTAACTGTCCTTTGTGGAAACTACACGTCAATAATAACTTCAGTAACTGACCGAAATTCACTATTAATCTTGTATACAAGATTTTTCTCTTCCCAATTTATCGCTTCTACATGAAAAGCTCATGGAATGAGTAGTTGTTTACAATTCGTTCATGATGGTCAGCATCGCATAATGTCTTTCAGAGTGAACATCATGTGAGCAAGAGGAAAGCATGTAGATAGAGGAGCCAGTGCGAGCCTCTGCGAAGCAGAGGTGAAGCACTGGTAACTTATAAAGGTTAAGCCGTTGTGGGGGACGGGTGGAGCAAGCTGATAATAATTATGTCCACCCCATATTTTGGAAGTGGCAAATTTTTACCATTCGAGCTTGAACAGAGATTTGGCGTAGATCTTTGATTTATTCTAGCCTCCCCCCCCCTTTATGGAGAGTATGCAGCATTATATTTGAAATTACGTTCATTTTTAACAGGGAAATTTCTCCACAACGACCAAACTACCGAGTTTTTCCTAACTCACATCTCAGAAGACCTAAAGGCATGGTCAACGTCGACATATACTCAGCTTTCTGTAGAGACATGCAGCAGTAACATCCCCGCCGGGTAGGGATCGCAGCGAAAGAAAGCTTCATGTGTAGGATTTTCTTGTGCCGAAAAAAAGCTTCATGTTTTAAAGTTTCAGATATCTGGATTTCACGCTTCCACCTGTATTCCTAGTATTCTCAACATATTGAACAGGGGCGAAAAGTTGTATAAGGGCATTTTCCACCTTTTGTACGGTTCTCTGATGATCCCGCCGACTGTCTTTACTTTAAAATCATTCTTCTTTTATCAGTACCAACGAAGACATCCCAAGTTGTACTGAATGTCTAATCCAACACTGTTAAGCATGTTTCTGATAAGAACAAATGATATATTATAGTCAGAAAATTGTAGTGAACCACAAGTCGAAAGTTGGGGTCTATCGACAATTTTGATACTTCAATAACTCACTTGTTATCATCAGAAATATGCTTAGTGCTGCTGTTTTAGACAATCGGTACAACATTAGAATGATTGAACTTCAAAAAAGAACTCTGAAAAAAAATGATTGGCCGCCGGGGATCATCAGGGGATCATAAAAGCTGAAAAATGCGGCTTGCACAACTTCCTGCTCCTGTCAACATGTTTATAATGAAGATTGATAGGAATACTTACGGATGGACAGAAAATACGAATTTTAGATATCTGGAGCTTTATGATATGAAGCTTTCTCCAAAGCTGCGATCTCCTCCCGGAGGAGATCATGCGTTTCTACGTCTTCTTCGTTTTTGCCACATGTTTCAAACAGAGGAGAAGTTGAACGGATACTTAGCTGATGAGAAGCAACATACCTCTCTTACATGGGAACAATCGCTTCAGTTTTGGCATCCTCAATGTCTTATAGTTACTCCGTTTGAGTATAATGCACATTTGAACGTGAGTAGCTTGACTGAATATTTCGTTGAACTCTTTCTCACTAATTTCCCCCGCATTAAAGTTTAAACGAGTTCCCGGTGCTTGTTTGATAACAGCAACTCCTGCACAATCTCGTACTTCTTCTTCGTCTTCCAGTGTATCACAGTGGCCTGTTGAAAACCAGACAACATGAATGTGCAATGTAGAATGTACATATATGCAAGTGTCCCATCAGTACATGCACTTTCATATCGTTTACATCTCTTTAGCTCCAAAATCTTTCGCTAAACTTCAGTTACCATTCCTTAGATACATTATAAAGCAAATTACAGATTGCTGTTCGTTATCGTAAATTAGTTTATAAATACTTTCAACTTTTTGCTCAAAAGATCTTTGTTAAAAGAGGTTCTGCAGATGCGAAGGAAAAAAGAGAAGAAAATGATTTATAGAACTAATCAAGTGTATTGTCGGGTGCACCAGCATCTACACTTCCTCGCGGGACTCTGCATCTCTTCCACGAACATGCTCTCCGATTATTTGCAATCGATTGAGGCTCCGCATTTCTCACGCTCGCGGTTGAAAAGTGATAAGAGAGCATATTCGCGACAGAGAGACACAGGCGAGGAGGCCGCGCAGGAGCAGAGAGCTAGTGCACGCGACACTGCAGTTGTTAAGCCCTATAAGTGATACAAAAACAGCAATACAAATTCTGTTGCGTTTCATTTAATTGAAGCGCGCTTTCGCTTCTGCCGTTTTTTTGCAGTGTTTGAACCTGTACAACATCAACTTTTTTGTCATCTTAAGGTTTCAGCTTAACACGTTTCGGACCGCGAAATCGCGCGCGGCGAAAAAGAATGCACTTTCAGCCGTTAGCCATCAAAAGGACCTTCTTTCGTAGACTGTGTACTACATCCGTAAACAGCATGTCAGATAAGCTCCATACCCGAAGTTCTAAGTGAATTCAAAGTATATGAATTTTGTCGCTTGAGAGGGACTTCTGTGCTTTTTTGAAAGGTAGGAACAGGAACTCAGTTCCTAACAGTATTCAAAAGTATCTATGATGTACAGGGTACACATCATTATTGAAACTACGGTTTTTCTTTTTGAAATTGAATCAAGAAAAGTTGCGACCTCGCACGCGTCGTTCGCGTTGCCGCACTTCGCTGCAGCTGCTGTTCGATTTGCCCTCATATCTCCTAAACAAATGCCGGCGGCACAGCTCTACCAGGTCATTTGAAAAGTAGGAGCTTAGGCCTTTGACTTGATGACCTTGGACTTACAGAAAATCTCCTGTGAACGCCAAAAAGATCCTTCAAAGCAGCGTGCTGCACCATGTGCAGCACCGGTCCGAAACGTGTTAACATCTATCATTCGTGTAGGGCTCTGACCAGTGCCAACTTCCTTGGTATTTCGCTACATTGCCTATTGTCAACAGGCAAATTTACCATTTGAAAAGGCGAAATCATCTCACTTGCAGGAAAAATATCGCATTTCTTTCCCATTCCTAGCAAGCAGTTCGTTTGAAAACGTCTAAGCACACCATTTTCTAGTTCTGGATTACCATCGATCTCGACGTGGAAAGATTCTTGCACATCGAATTTGGACCTCGGAATCGTTAAGTTCTTCAAAGAACTGTTACCACGTATAACAAATAGGCGACTACCTATAACGAATTATCGCTTATAAAAATTCTACAAAATTGTTCAAGACCGACTCCCTTGAACCCACGTTTAGGTTTTGGGCGAACTGCTTCTGTAAGCATTGGCATACTGATACTAGTGAAGCTGGAGTCTTCTATACGTATTTCGAAATGTGTCTTTTTTACTTTTTTAAAAAGGTTGTTGAAATCGTCTTCTCGTAGAAAACGAGCGTGGAATACGGTACGTCCTTGAAATCCGAGCTCTTCACTACCCTGACACCTCCTTGCATATATTATGTATTGATCCACATCGTGATTCGATAAACCGTAATTTGCGCAGTCTGGAGTGATAATAATGGCATACTTGTAAAAACTTCTATGTCTTCTATTAGGTTGTTACATAAGTCTTGTTACACTTAACTTCTAACGGCGATAAGTCATACACCTCATAGTCTTTGCAGGACTCCAAGGCACCGTTCGATAGGGCAAAGCAAGCTCTACAAGATGGTCTGCAAAAGTTCGCACCAGCTCCGACCCACCGTAAGTTTGCATCCAAAATCTGAGTCGTACTGAAATTCAAAAAATCGCGAAAAAATCATATCTTTGTTCAAACAAATCCTACGGATCTCCAACTTGCTCATAAAAATTGCCCACTATATCTAACACTCATATGTACCGTTGCTGTATTTTTTCCTTATCTAAAAATCGAGAAAAAGAATTTTTTTTAGTTTTTACAAAAACGAAGCTATGCTGTTCCTTTTCATGTAGCTGTATACTACAAGCCCTTAGAAGTATGACCGTAAATTTTCAGCTTCCCAGAAGCCCTAGTTTTCGAAAATTACCTAATTTAGCTTTTATCACTCGGGTGTTCAATGTTAAATTAGGTAATTTTCGAGAACTAGGGCTACTGGAAAGCTGAAAATTTACGGTTATACTTCTGAGGGCTTGTAGTATACAGCTACATGAAAAGAAACAGCATAGCTTCGTTTTTGTAAAAAACTTAAAAAAATTCTTTTTCTCGATTTTTAGATAAGGAAAAAATACAGCAACGGTACATATGAGTGTTTGATATAGTGGGCAATTTTTGTGAGCAAGTTGGAAATCCGTAGCATTTGTTTGAACAAAGAATGAATTTTTCGCGATTTTTTGAATTTCAGTACGACTCAGATTTTGGGTGCAAACTTATGGTGGGTCGGAGCTGGTGCGAACTTTTGCAGACCGTCTTGTAAAAGCTTGCTTTGCTCTATCGAATGGTACCTTGGAGTCCTGCAAAGGCTATGAGGTGTATGACTTATGCCGTTTAGAAGTTAAGTGTAACAAGACTTACGTAACAACCTAATATTTCAATAACCACACGGATTCAGCGCCTGCGGCGGCCACGGATGCATCTAAACCCTTGAAGTCCTTTTGTAAAAATGCCGTGCTTTAACATATGCTTCAACATAACATGAGATCATTTCCGTGCATTGTTAATATTGATGTCCTCGCACAATTTTATTAGATTGGCTAAAAAATAAATTCGGTCGTTTTAAGCGATTTGCAGAATTGTCACAAATCAGTTTTTATCTTTATATATGGCACCACTGGAAAGAGCAAATCAAGGAAAATCGGAAGATTGACTCTGTTTTCTCAAAAATAATATTCTGATAATGAACTGGTGAAGGAAAGAAAATTGGTCAGATTTTTTCCTCAAAACGTCGAAAAACCACGCCTCAAAAACGAAGTGAAGTCAGGTGTAAAGCGTAGATTTGCTACCCATACGACAAATTTTGAATTTCCAACCGCATGGCCATTGATGACCAAATTCGAGTTATCTGGAATGCCCAAAATTCGACCTTCACGCGCAAATGCCTGGAAATTTTTGCAGTTTTGACTGCAAAAATTCAGAAATAGCAGGTCACAATCTGTGCTGTGGTTCGCCACCTAGCCAGAAGCTGTATGTATCCAGCCACCAAATTATTCGCCTGTGTAACTGCAGGCTGAGAACGAAAGCTAGGAAGTCAAAAACGCGGTTTTTTAGAAGTTTGACCATAAAAGGTTATAATTCTCATTATTTGGTAACAGAAAATCTGGACCATTTAATAATTAAGATTAAAGGTTTGGGGCTATTTTTTTTTTAACGAAAAACTCAGCTGAACAGCTGTTACATGAATTCTATGAAGCTTTTGATTTGCATGTCAAAACGAACTTATTTATTCAAACCTCTTATTATGTGATGAAACGCTTTTGTCTTTTCCATTCATCAGAACTAATTCAGATTTGCAGCGTTGCATATTTTCTTGAATTTCATTTGACATCTTATTTGCAAAAGGGGAAGCTCGGGTGATCCAGCTGATTTGCATCAACTGAGCTGGTCAAAACGAGAAAATATTCCGAGAAAATGGTCCATTTGGAATCATTGGATGGACCAACGATGGACTGTTGTATCCTGCATGACATATGGTTCAAAAGTGGCCTGTTACATCATGTTCATCCCTCTTCGTTATTTTGAGCACTATGTACTTCGCTGACCGTATGCACATGGTCAAATTAACTATAACTATGGGAAATGTGCACAGACACACAGACACACAGATTTTCTGTTTTATATATAGAGAGATAACAGATATTGTGAAATAAAATTATGCACTGGCGGTCTGGTAGCAAAGTTAAATGTACTCCTGTGTTGTTGTTTTATTTTTTCTAATCGTATGAATTTCTATAGGGAAATTACTTTGAGTAATGTAATAAAGAAATTAACATAAAATTCAGCAAAGGTATCCCAGGTTTTTGCTTGGAGACCACCGGTTCGAAACTCGGAATGCCAAGAGAAGTGAAGTTATCAATAAGATTGTCCCAAATCTTTTAGTATCAGCTTCTCATGTGCTACTTTTTTGGATGTAGATGCCTCAGAGGCGGAAAGAATTTGTATTGTGATAGCAAAAGCTGCCCCTTGAGAATTCTTATCAGCGCAAGCGATAACTTAAGAGGACTGTCACAAATGTCACTTCTAGGCATCGCTCTACTTTAGAGGCAGTGTCCGGGCAAGAACTCGATTTTGAGATTTTGTGCTTATATTTATTTTTTTTCATTTATTTTTTATTATTTTCGGATTCAGCAGGGCCTATTCGCCATGCTGAATCCGAAAATCCACACTGGAAAGCGCGAAAACGGCAAAAAGGGGCTCTAGCGCCAGAAGGAAAACAATGAGTGGGCGCGATCCTCCCCACTGTGAATTCACGCTCCCAGCCGCCGGAGCGGCCTTCTCGGTTCCAGTTATAAGTCAAGCGTCCTTACTTGGCCGGTGGAGATGTCAAGGCGGCCAGCGAAATCGAGAAATCGCTTCGGAAGCAGGGAACGTGAATTCACAGCGGTGAGGACCCCGCCCACCTGTTGATTTTCCTCCTGTGATAGAGCCGTTTTCGCACTCTCAATGTGCATTTTCGGATTCAGCGTAGCAAATAGGCTCGCTCAAGTACAAAATCTCAAAAACAAGTATTTGCCCGGACACTGCCTCTAAGCAATTCCACTGGCACTGTCGCAATGCATTTTCAGTCACCAGTTCACTACGACTGGATTTTGAATGCACTAACTCATAGCTTCTCTATGGTAACGCAAGCATGCCATTGTCTACGCATAGTGCGGTTGTGCGAAATTCCGAACAATTGTTGCCACTAAATGATCGGACAGGGTATGATCGATGCCTACGATAAGACCTCGTGACATTGCCTACATGCTGTACCTGTAGGACTTAACAAAGATGCACCCCATATCCCCCTATCCCACCAGCTATCGTCGTCTCCCCGCGATAGATGGTGCGTGTCGTCTGCAAAGTCCGTAGACGTGAGTATTTCGCACGGTATTAGCCATGGCGTGGCATGTATATACATGCCACGTCTAAATACTTGTTAAATCTTCATCATATAACATGAGTTTTCGTACTCCCTAACTGCCAAAAACTGCCACGCGCATACGTTGGCAACGTTGGCAAAACCACGCCGGCCAGAACCGTACGAAACACGCACATCTACGGACTTTGCGGACGACACGCCCCATCTATCGCGGGGAGACGACGATAGCTCTGCATCTAATTTGTTAGTCCATAGTTGGTGCACGTTTCTTACGTTACGGCGGCAGGATAGAAAAAATGTGCAAAAGTTCGTTTCTTTGGAGTTTCAAAGCAAGAATAGAATTTTCATTTTTAGCCTCCTTCACAGGAAAAGACTGTGAACCTCCAACTTAGTCGTACATATCGTCGAGTCATTCGTAACCATATGCGTATTGCACACCATGTGTGCTAACTGACAAACTGCAAGATTAGAACCTGCTCATTTGCAGTGATCTCTCCTGATTTCCTTGTTCCTTTTGTTTTCGTCGGATATATGTTAGTTAGTAGATCATATCTTTACAGTTTAATAGGCTAGAAAATGTTTTACTGAAAAGTTAGTAGTAAGGGTGTCGTCGCTAATCGCGCATAGTGTGCATCACATATTAAGTTACAAATGACTCGAGTATATGTTCTTTATGATTGAGGAGGCTGCATCTTTCGAATGGAAAACAAGAATGAAAGACAAAAATAATAAAAACGCCTTTTCCACTTTTTCAGATTGAGTCCGACATTTTCTTACAAAGTGCTCATGAGAGGCTGAAAATCTATACAGTTATAAATGTTTGTGTATAGAATTACTTATGTGTTAACTGCTGACAATGATTGTTTCGGCAAGGAGCACGCCAACTTTTCTGTTCTTTTGCTTCTTTTCAGCCATCGAAAATATATGTAAGGATGTCTTGAAACTGAATCCATAATTTTACGGGAATCTGAAGTGAAGACCAAACCAAATTCCAGATATTCAGTATACCGAAGTATTTGAAAGTGGCCTATATGATTTGTAAAATCAAGCAATTGGCTATGTGTGTTTGCTTGAATAAATTTTGACAAAATTCTGTGTGTCAGAGAAGTTTTAAGAAAATTTCTTGACGAGGCCTCGGAAAAGATTTTTGCGTTCAAAAGTTTTGTCGCGTCGCACCCCTCTTTTTTGACCTGGTCTTAAAACTATATATGCACAATTTGCTCGTTGAGATTTCTCTTATAGCAGTGCCTTTGGCCGATTTATAGGTATCATTCTGTAAAGCTGACCTCAGCTTGATTTTATATGTAGTATGACACGAGTTGTATTCCAGGAGGAAAGAACAACTTAGGCTTACAGTAGGTTAATCAGGGTCACATACACCAAAGAGAAGTCCGCACTTTACCTTGATGATGAGTTATGCCAGTTGAGTAACAAATTTGTTTTCAATCTTTTTTTGGAAGATCCGGACCCCCACGTTTAAATGTGCGCGTACAACGTGGCATACTTCATTTGACGAGTGAAATAGTGAAATAATAATTTGAAATAGTGAAATAAGTAGTAAAATAAATAGTGAAGTAGTAATTCCATACAGTGAGATAATACCTTTTCAGAGTGGACCTGCAGTTTTGCCTAGCACTGTAGTCGAAGAGTAAATAATGCTTTGTCAAACCTAGGAATTTGAAAAGAAACAAAGAAACATAGGTGAATAGTGACATGAATATTAAGTATGTACAGCTTTGAGCAATTCGACAGTAAGATGAGTGTAACTCGAATTCAAAGGCGTAATCAGGACTTGCTAAGGGGCTCAGCAACTGAATAACTTTAGCAAAGAAAAGCGATCTTTGAAGCAGTTTTGGAAAGTGATCTTGTCACACTGAAAGGATCGAAAAGGAATTCTATCTACTTTAGATGAGTTTTTTCAAAGCGGCGTCTAACCTTTTGGAGAGTAATAATGGAGAGTTAAAGATGAGGTCAGTACCTCACCTTTCCTCCAGCGATCAAATAGAGCAGTGTTAAGTACGTTGCTAGACAAAGGGCTGTAGTCAACCCTCATTCAACTCAGTTGACGAGTTGGGTCATTCAGAAGAACTTCCTGAGGTGAACCTAAGACCGCCCACACACTCAGGGCAGGTTCCATGGTGAACAGAGGAAATTATTGTGCAAAAGAGGAGGATCAGATAAAATTCCCGTATGTTGCTCGTGAGTAACTTACGGGATAGAGTTGGCGGATTTTGCGGTAAAGCTCCGAAAACTTACAATTTTTGGGTTCAAAATATGAGAGAATCAATGAAAAGGTGATTGCGGCGGGATAACCGAGGATACAGGTCTCTTATTTCAGACTTTACCTACGTTTTTCTTTCAAGAACTGCTAAAAAAGGTTTCTCTGATTTGTTTTATTCTATCCAGATACGTTCCAACGTTTTTGTTTTTTCATGAAATTGTCGTTATAAAACTCTGGTCTTTTAATCCATTCATTTGCTAAGTGCATGCCTTGATGCGGTCACCATTAATTTTTCTCGACAGCTGCCGCTATCAAAGATTGCTCGGCGATGCTACAAAAATTGACCGCAGGCCGGGCTCGATGCCTTGCGCGTTGAATAATAATCACTTAGCCGTTGGACCAATCCTTCTCAGTTACTTCCTTTTTGAGAAAGCACAAGATCTTCAAGCCAAGAAAGCGATCCGCATCCTGATCAAGCTCACTGACGGCAGACAAAGGCACTCTACGTTCAACGTGGGCCCGCTCCCAGCCGAGTTGCACTGAACAGGAGCTTACTACGTGCTAGAAGCTAACCAGTGCGAAGAGTGCCTTGTTATTTAACAGTGGCTCATTTTAGGGATTCCAAAGAAGTCGTTCGTTTGTCTAAATTTGAACAAAAAATTCCAAATGCTTGTAACTTTCCGGTCAGAGAAGCATGGTAGACAACGAAGACATATTTCAAGCCAGCGCTTGAATCTCTCCAAAAAGTTTCGTATTTTATTCTTAGATCCACTCGAACTTGAAAACGCTTTCTGTAGGCATTTCCCGCAAACACCCAATTCGTGCGATTTCTGCGCATTTAAAGGAACTCACCGTATGCGGCCGCCAAATTGTATTGCATTACCATAGTGTGAAGCAGCACTACCACTTTTGTTTTGACAATGAATTTTGTTTTCAACAGCATCTGCAAATTGTTTTATTAAGAAGTGGGATTGCTGTCTCCATAAACCTGCCGCTTAATGGGTGAGAACTATACAAATGGGTCATAGATTCATACATGCTGTTGTTTTACTTTCGTCTTGCCCAAATATTTATAGAAGGGTATCACAATCGTAGTCGACCATATCTTTTGAGATCCTTTTGTGTGAGGGTTGTGTTCAACAGGGAAGGGGAATTGTATTGCATTACCATAGTGTAAAGCAGCCGATAGGCTCCACCCGGCGCCGACAGCTGGCACATATCTGTATTGTCTGTAACATGCATGACTTCATGGCCTGTTACAGATGTCAGCGTGGACCACCTCCTTTCGGCAACATACAGCACACTCCACCCAGTTTAACAAGAAAAGGATACTTAGTGACCTTTCGAATGCATAATGTATCGTATAGCTCGTTTGGGACGCTAATCTACTAACAGGGAGCAAACCGTCATCCTGTGGAGAGGGTTTGCAGAAGAAGTTGCAAACTGCACGAATCACCCTAAGAAAGATATGTCACTGTTTAGCCCGAAGATGAGTAAAGTTCGCGGATAAAAATTGAGGCGGAGGAAAAAGTGACCTAAAAGGCTTCCGGTAGAATGCAATATACCGTAATCACGTTATGAAAACATAAACTCCGCCGAAGGACGTAGTTGAAGAACTGGCGGTACTCTGGACGGAGGACTGTATATAAGGCAGACAACAAATCGAAAGGACGGAGTACCACTACAACCTCGTTTTCCCTTCCTTTACGTGACTCTAGGTGCTACCCTCTCCTCTTTTCCATCCTTGAGGATCGTGCCTTCATTCTTATCCATGAACATGTGTGTGTGTGTTAATTTCGTTGGGAGATGTATCTTGTTTCCGTGCATGCCCTTGATGTTGAACTCAACATTAAGAAGACCAGTGCGTCACCTCTGCTTCGCAGAGGTTCGCACTGGCTCTACTATCTATGTGCCTTACTCATTTTCGTAAAATCGTGGCACTGGAACTCACCGCGCTATGCCGACTACCACGAATAAAATGTAAACAACCACTCATTTAGAAAGTCTTTTCACGTAAGATCGGTGATTTCGCGTGGATGAAACTTTTCGCAGGAAGACAAACGCAAATTTGAATAGGTTTTTGGATTTGTCATGGCTTGATAGTCGCCATAAAGGTAGTAATAACCGTGAGGTACATCTCTGTGCGAAAATCTTCTCAAACGCTTAGCTAGAACCTTGGCAAATTGACCATTTGCACAACCAATTCGTTTTGGCGTCATTTTCGTTATGTAGTAAACTTTCGACCACTTTTCTTGCTAAACTCCATCGCTTGCACATTTGCTTACCAAACTCATCCACGACTCTGCAAAAAGTGGTGATATGGACCGAATTTTGCGGTACAGAAGCCAGGTGGATCCGTTTGGCGCGCAATTTGAGGGATCCACTCAACCAATCTAATCGTGCTTTTGCATGTTGGACTTTCATGAAGGTAGCATGCGCTATGCAAAATTTGGGCTTAGAACGCTGGCTGGAACACGCTCCACGAATTTCGTAACACACACAGACAAAGTCACGTAAACATCTTTAGCCCGTTTTTATAAGTCATGATAAATGTCGTTGGGAATCAATGATCTTTAGGTGGACGTGTAAAATTTATGGCTTAGACGAGTTTTTACAACCAGTTACCAATCGCTAGGATCATCAAAATGATAAGAGATAACACTTGGTGGGAGGATCGAGAGTAATTTATGCACCCGGAAGGTATGCGGACCTTACATAAAGGTTTCGGTTTCGGACTGGAACGCGATTCGCGAGAAGTGTATAAGCAGTGCGCAAAACTTTGAGCCATCTAATGGAGAAGCTAGATCTTTCGGTTTTTATTCTGCGTAACTGTCTCTCGGACGTGCCCAACATCGCTGATGGAGATGAGGACGACGATAGCTGGTTCAAAAGGATGAGGAAGAATCTCTCGGTTCTTCCGAGAAGTATTCGGCTCGTCCCCTTATAAAAGGGTGTATAATATTTGGAAACCTTATTGAGCGTTTAAGCTCTGTGTCGCTTTCTAGGCTCCCACCAGGCTCTCTAGACTATTAGACACGTTCCTTGTTCCCGCCTTGAAGGCAGATTCCAGGCAAGATCCATCTACCCAGATTAGCGCATAGTTGTAAAGAGGGGCCCATGAGTATCCGATCTGCGTTGGTCCAATTCTTTGACGTGCTCTCTAAAAGGAGATACGGGCCTGTGATACGTTCACAAGCCGCCCCTTCGTATCACAAACCACCCCCGAGGACGAGTGCTTACGCAGGTGTGCGGTTGCATTCCAGTTGCATTGCAGTTGCGCTGCAAATGCAATGCACGGCATCCGTGCAGTTACAGCTCGGGACAAGTATTTCGAAACTCGTCCGCTCCTTGAAGAGAGGGTCCCCAAGAACCGAGTTTTTTGGGAGTTTTGAACAATTTGGACTTTATAACTGCAATTAGGGCCACGGAAAGGCCCCAGAATGGCAGAAACATGAGAGGCGAAATTTTGCCCGGACGCTGCCTTTAACGGCATATAATGGCTCATGTAGGGAGACCGTGGTCCATTTTCCAACCCACAGACTGTCGTTGCTGAATGCTAAACAGTTCCACTTCCCATGCGAAACGTGTCCCGGAAAGCCTCGACACTCACTCGAACAACACCTCGAAATGAAGTATGAAGCCACACTCAGATTCCCTGAATTGCCTCTTATTGACTTTTCGGCGTTCAGGGAAGAGATGCCTTTGTTTACGTTTGAAAGGACTTGGATCGCATTTCCACGTCTTTCAGAAGATATACTGCATCCCCGGAATTTGGCCCGCGCACGCATTCCACCACCTAATGATGCCGCCACAGGAGATGACGATAATTGGTAGGGAAAATCGCTGATCGCCGTTGATTGTATTTTTTCGCTCTTTGTTAATGGTTGGTGGAGGATCTAACACGCAGCAGATTAATAAATAGTTATTAGAATTGTATCTTGCTTCAGTTGATCGTATTAAGCTCATAAATTTCTCGATATTGAGCGTTTCTCAAAAGGAGACGTGTTTAAATTCAAGATTCTACGAAAAGAATATAATAATTTCTTGCTGAGAGGTCAGAGATCGATCTAAAGATCAGTGGTCTCTCGTGTATGTAAACTTGAATTTGATTAAATCATAACCAGTAATCCGTTGTCCGTCCTCAATAGGAGTCATTGGTTGCATAAATAACGGTACGAGTCTAATGATAACAGAGACGGTGAGAGTTGAATGCGGATTGTAGGCACTAGGGTTATTGATGGCATTCCGATCTGGTCTCAAGATTGAAGCAGATTGATCATTGCCGCTTTTACTTATTAGCTAAGGAGTGTACAACTATGGCGTTTCATAATTTCTTTCTGATCTTACAAAACTATAGCCTTCCCGTTGTTCTTATAGTTAGATACAACTAAGAGTAAAGCAACATAACGAGATATATTAAACATCCGCGCAAACTATATTCGGGAAATTCATAGACCACTTGAGATGGTACTTAAAATGGGTAGCTCAAACCAAGTATCTCTCAGGTTGTCCCATAAGTTCCGTCCGTTTTTCAATCGCAATAAGTCATGAACTTCTTGGTTCTAGAAAGGGTTTTGAGGTACCGTTCGATAGAGCAAAGCAAGCTCTACAAGATGACTTTCTTACTTTCGCACCAGTTCAAATCCATTTCGAGTTTGAAGCCAAAAGCCAAAAAGATCCAAAAGCTCGAAAAATAAAGAAAAATCGTAACTCCTTCCAAAAAAAATCCTAGAAAATTCCTAGTTTACTCACAGATACGCTATCCACATCAGCCATTTACAATACCACTCTCATAACGTGCAAAATTTCCTTGAATGTCGCGAAATTCCGAAAATTCCGCGAAATTCCCGGAATTTCGCGACATTCACGGAAAGTTCGCGGAAATTTCGGAATTTCGCGACATTCACGGAAATTTTGCACGTTATGAGAGTGGTATTGTAATTGACAGCCGAGGTGCGAGATTTGCTAATTACGGTGCGAGAGTGACCGCATATCACCGCGACTAGCGCTGATGGGCAAATGCTATGAAGTCATTTATATGCAACTTTGTGAACTCTTTCTTTCTATGGTAAAAGCGGGATTCGAACTATTTTATAAGCGAGGGTTTATAAGAAAGCCAATGTACATTTTTATGCATATCTTTGTGGAAAATGGGAACGAAGTGTCCGGATACCCGTATTTGTGTTTATATTCGAAGGGGCTATACCAAAAAACTTACAGAAGAAATGGATGTTAAATACACAAGAGGCTGATCTAAGAACGGTTCTGGACTTGGAAATTTTTCGGAAAATTTTATGATAGATCAAAATGAAATGATAATTCCAGGAGAATAATCAAGGCGCTAGCATAGCAATATTTCGATACAACTTTTGATGCGCTATCAGCTGATGGAGAAAGTTGGACAACAGCATGAATGTGAAGGGGCGCTGCCCTATAGTATCTGGAGATAGTTTTTCTTAATTTGATCTTTGATCTCTATATATAAATCGGTCAGAAGTGGTTCATTGGTGGTTAGTGGCGGGTTAGTGGCCCAGGCATGGATGGGTTGGAATGGGAAGGTGGGGGAGAAGTGGGTGGAGACTTGGGTGGGGGCGGGGCCAAAAGTGGGCGGAGCTAGCAAATTTCGAAAAAATCCACATTTCTCTGAAATCTATCCACCGTAGTCCTACAGAAAGAAGCTATCTCGCTAATCAGATGTGTTTTTGTAATCAATGGGTCGGATAACATCTATGGCTTGATTTTCTAAGGAACTAGTAGCACTTGATTTTTTCTCGCTCCTCACTCTTGGCCTCGGCGCAAGATTTGGTTCAAAATATTGAGGTTCTCGGATTGACCGGAAACTTCGCTCGTAGTGGTTTTTGGTCCCGATCATTACGAAAATCCTATTTATTTTGCACTAGAGAGTCTTAAAGTAAAGCTGAAGTGGGATAGAAGTGGCTCAAC